TGAAAACTGATTTAATTCTTATTATTTTAGGTAAAAATAACAGTAATAAAAATAAAAACTTAACTATTTAAAATGTATATTATTGCGGCCCACGTTAATCATAATATTTTAGGAGGCCTGTGGTTATGCGTGTTTAAAGTCTTTTAAAAATTACGTAAGAACACAGCCATACTATTCTAAAAAGCCGTGTTATTTTCACCACCTCTGCCGGTAGTGACGCACCGCTAGCCAGCGGTAAAACGGAGCCTCGAACAGACGAAAAATATTCTTTGTCTAAAAGTGAACCAAATTGCTACCTCCGACAAACCAATTTGCCAGGTTACCAACTTTGAACTTTTATCGCCATTTTTGGTGATGTTTACATTTATCGGATCCTCTGCATAAGTGCTTCCTTTTTTTTGCGTTAAAAAAAGTGGATTGCTCAAACTTTGAATATCAACATTGCATACATGGGGCAAGAGAGATGTGTGCTATGTGTTTACCTGAGTTTATGGGCAACTTTGTGGGTTGTTACATAACTATTTTGGTGACATTTTGTTGTGCAATGTGAATACAGTTTCGTGTTTTTTGTCGCAAATAGCCAGAAGGAACCAATATTACTGTTACAGATATATTTATGTATGAAGTAAATTTCTGTTTAATAAAAACTTAGTTACAACTGAAATGCTGCTTTACTGAAATGATGAAAATAAAGTAACATTGAATGAGCCTGATAGCATGTCTCAATTTTTCAAAATGAATTGTTATTATTTCTTTCTCAACAGATAAATAAGTATCTTTACTGCAAGCAAGCACGTGTGCGAAAATGTAAACTGTGAAATAAATCTGCATTTGAGTGCTCGTTTGTTAATAATCTTTGCCCATTGATTGATACACCAACTAAAATTTATATTGTAGAATTATCTGGGAATAGTTAAAGTATCAAAAAAGGAATAACATATTTTTTTTTAAGTTGTAAAAAAAAAATTTGAAGAACATCCCAAGTAAATTTAGTTATTCTGTAAGAACATTTGCCACTTATCCATGATGTTTACTGTACTTCAGAAAAATATTACTGAAACTTTGTACTTAGAGTCAGGTGTCGTAGATACTAAATAGGAAATCTTTTTATTAATTGTTAATTTTCAATGGCGAAAAATCATTGAGGCATTTGAAAAAATGCAGTATACTGAATACTTGCAAATTTTGCCCACTTTCGCTAGATGGCATATTGAAATAAAAGGATCGTGCATAGTTGTCATGTTGTAATGCTGGTGATCCTGATGCAATTGACAAAAGTGCAAATCTGAAAAAGTTTTCGAGATTCAAGGATTAGAATGGCCCATTTAAGTTGTTAATGCATAATGATTGCATCTTTTTATAACATTTTCTGTCTTCTTGATATTCATATTGTACAAGTTTCCTTCCTTGTCATATAAGTATTAAATATTCAGCCTTGAATCGTGTCTCTAAGATAATGATAGAAGCATTAGCTAAACTTTTTTTCTAAACATTTTTAATTTCAAAGAATAGAAAATGCTAACTTTGTTATCACATTCTGACCTTTGAAAATAAATTTAATCAAATTAATGAATTTTCAGCATTTTTTTAATTAGTTTATTTTGAGCACTTGATGTAAAATTCTACTACAGCATGACCACTACTTTACTGCAACCACTTTAGTAGAAATCATCAAAGCGACTTGATGTAAAATTCCACTACTGCATGACCAGTACTTCACTGCAACCACCTTAGTAGAAATCATCAAAGCGTCGGAATATTCCAAATTCTGGTGAACTATGTGCATAACTATTATTCAGGCAACCAGGTGCATGACAAATATTCAGTTTCCAGTGTTGCCATTTTTGTATGGATTCATTTTGTTTTATTCCAAGTTCCAACGGCTTTTGTAAAAAAGTGTTTTTTTTTTTTTTTTTTTTTTTTTTTTTTTTTTTGTAGTAAAGTTGATTTTAAAATTTGTGCATGGAGGATTTTTCTATAATAGAAGAAAGGCAGATGAAATTTCTGCATATTTTCCTGCAACATCTCTAAAGGAACAATGCCTCAAATTCTATTTCAAAACAATTGCTAAGAAATTTCCACTACATCCAAAACAAAAACGGGCTTGTAACTAGGTTTACTGTTTATCTTTTGGAGTAAATATATAGTTAAAATGTGGAATATGTTTGTATGTAATATATAATATTTTAATATTTTACAATAAAAGCCCCCCCCCGGTCCTGTAAAATTTGGCAAACTTCACCTAGGTAGTTGCAATAATATGCAAGAATCTATTGAGTTATATGGGAAATTCTATAATTTTTCAAATGAAAGTGCATTTGCTTCTAATTACTTTGGTACTACTTATAAGGAGTGACCATGAGTGAGCAGTTTTTTAAATATAATCTTTTCTGCTTGCATTGTGTAATTCTAGCACATGGGAGAATTTTTATTTCAGTGTTGTGCTAAGAATGAAGAATTTAAAAATTCATTTTAATCATATTATGCACTTTTATTTTCGAGAAGGGAAAAGTGCTAGTTGGACTGCTCGTAAAATTTTTTTTATGTGTTAGCAAATTGCTGTTTCTGATGATACAGCTCAAAGGTTTGTAGAGAAGTGTGAAAATTTCATCCTCGAAGATGATATCACTGTGTGTGAGCATCTTATATAAACATGGTCCTGTGAAAGAGAGCTATTGCTGAAATTCTGAATTATGCAGTTCGAGAACTATCACACAGGTTAAGTATTCCAAACATTACAATACGTTATCATTTGAAGAAGAGTGGGAATGTAACCTGATAGGTATCCTGTACTTTAACAGAGCAGAATATGCTTGCTTAGCATGAGGCTGGGAAAAAATTATAAGATATTTTTCCCGCCTTCTTTGCATGCCTTCATGGTGTAGTTGTCAGCACATTTGATGCATATTCGAGAGGTCTGTGGTTAAATTCTCGGCAAGGGCGTTGCTTATTTTTCATCTCTCTTGTTTTCAAAAAATACCTAATGTCTCTACAGAATGGTTTGATTCCCTGTGAGTGTACTGCACATTTTTTACATCTCCTGCTTAAAAAAACTAATGTCTCTACAGTGGTGCCCGAACTAAAAGGTGATAGATGATGATTCTCCACCACCAGGATTTGGTGATTGGGCCCCCTATTACCCAGTTACCCTTTGAAAATGGAAGTATAATAAGGTATTTCTCCCACCTTCATAGCATGCCTTCGTAGTGTAGTGATCAGCACGCTCGACGTGTATTCGAGAGGTCCGTGGTTTGAGTCACGGCTGAGGGTATGCTCATTTTTCACATCTCCTGCTTCCCCCCCCCAAAAAAAACTAATGTCTCTACAAAATAAAGATTTTTTTTTTTTAACAGTATATTACTTGAGATAAAAAATGGAGATACTGTACAATAATGTTCCAAAAAAAGAGCATGAAGTAAGTCGAAAAAAATCACCTTTAATAATATCAAGAAGGAATTTCATCCCAAAAAGTAATGCTTTGTTTATGGTGAAACAACAAAAGAAGTGTACACTACACATTTTACGTAATAAATCTGACAAATTTGTAAAACTATTGTTCCCAAATGACAGTTTTAAAAACATAAAGTGAGGTAAAACACGCAGAATTGTTCAATTTTTTAGACAATCATGATGACAGTGTGCATCTTCACATTTTGATAATTGTCTCACTAAGTATGATTGGCTCTTTAGTGTTACTCCCCTCCTTATAAGACTAGACCTTGCCTTCTCAGATTTTCATCTCTTCAAATCACTTAAAAATTCTCTGAGCAGCCTAGAGTTTACTTCTTTTGAGACTATCAAACAGCATCTTAATAACTTCTTTATGAATCAGTGTAATGACAGTTTGTTACTTTCTGATTTACCATATCCCTGCTGAAAAGTCGCAAAAAACTATTCTAAAAAAAAAAAAAAAAAGCAGTATGTCACCAAAAGTTATATAGCGAGCCAGATACGTGCACAGTGCCAATGTTTTGCGATTCTCTGATATTTAAGCAAAAATAGATTGCTGTGCATATGGGAAGAACAGCAACATATAAAGAGAAGAATTTCTCGGAAGTTAAGTAAATGTAAAGGTAAGTGTTTTATTATCAGTGCTTCTTGCTCTTTTAATTTTATTGATAGATTGCTCTTGTATGGAATTCTTAATGAAATGCCATTTTGAAAATGGCTGTTTCCTTTTGCTCTCAAAATTGCAAAAAAGAGTCACCAGTGAGTTCACAAATACTGATCCAAATTCAGAAGCAAGTCTGTGACTTTTTGGTGGGCGTAGGAATAATTAGAGGATACAGACTTCTTCGTCCCCCCAAGGATTTTTCCAGCTGTCAGAGAGATGGCAAAAAGTCACAGATCAAAATGGTACTTATATGCTTCAATGAAATCTTATTGTATTTTTCTGTTGCTTCGTTGCATTTATCATTAAAAAAATAATAATAAATAACTTTTTGGATGGCCCAATATGACAAGATCGACACCTTTTTGGAATGAATAAATAAGCTAAATAAAGGTGAACATTGCGTTATTTACCAATACTAAGTGGGCAGTCGGATAGTCAGCAGATAAAGAGCAAAGGGTTACAGCTTTTTCCAGAGAGCTTGGCACCACCATTGAAGTCGGGCTACATTCTCATGAATAATCAGGAGTTAGCTTTATAACACTAAATAAGTTGAAAATTGTGCTGTATTTTAGATATAAATGAAATAAGCCATTAAAAAATAATTAAGGTTATACTTACTAAATATTTATGGGAATTCTCTTAAAATGTGTGTGTGTGAATGGTGTTTTTTTCTTCCTGATGCACTTAGAAGCAAAAATTCCAGAACACTGGTAGGTTATCCGAGTTCTTATCCTAAATAATCGATTGGACCATTTGTATGGGGTTTTTAATGAGTGCCTCCTTAGTAACTTTAAATCCTTGTGTTATATATAATGTTTATAGCTCTTGAATGCAAATACTTCTTAACTTAATCTTTCTCATATATATAACTTATTTTAATTTTTAGATACCTGGACGCCTAAAACTGACTAATCAAGCTGCTATTTTTAAGAATAATAAAACTGGAAAAGTTGATCAGATTCAAGCATCTGAAATAGAAAGTTTGAAATGGCAAAGGTTAGCTACAACTCATGGTTTAAGATTAATGTTAAAAAACGGAACTGTGTATCGATTTGGTGGCTTTCAAGAGACGGTAAGTTCGGCTTTTGTGCAACTTAAAATTATCTGAAACATTAGCATGTCAAATCTTTCTATTTAGAAATAATATATGGCAGTTTAATTTCTGCAGATTCCACAATAAATAATTTCTATTGCAAATATGCATTTTATTTAACACATTTTAGACATTGAGCTTTTTTTTTAAATGTGCAGCTTATTTTGGGAATGTGTTAAATATACATTGAACAAAAAAAATTTTTTAACTCTTTGCTAATTGTCAACAGTCTCCTCAGTGTAAGAATGACCAAATTTTGGTATTTTTTTATTAATTCAATGCAAATTAATTTTATAATGCTTAAGCACAAAGAATAGAATAACTTGCAAAATATGATCTTTTAATGTTAAGTATGGTTAATGGCCAAAACCCACTAATCAGATTTTTGTGTAAAATATTCTGGTACTTTTCCGTTTTGCCGGCGCAAATCTCGCCGAGCAGAAATTATAGGCGGCCACATACAGTATACACATAAAAAAATTTTTAACTAATGTTAGTTATAAGAATTTTTTATTTTGAAGGGCATAAACATTTTAATATTTTATAAAAAGCCAATAAATAAAGACGATAAATTTGTAAAAAGATATTAATTTTAGAATTTACTACACTTTCATGGTTCAACATCCCGATTTGCGGGTTCATGTCACGAGATCGCAAGTGATCTCATCTCGCGCAAACAACGCTACAAAAATCTAATTCTCTCAGTAATTGTCTACATTAATTTCAAGTTAAATCTTAATTTAATCACAAGTTTAAATGCAAGAATTATTTCAATTCGTACGAATAGTTTACTCAGTTATTATGTAAAACTGCAGTGCTTTACTTCGCTAGTGCGTTCTCATTAGAATTGATGAATTTAGCCCTTGATTTGCCTTTTCTATATTTTTGGGTGAGCGGTGTGATTGCATCCTAATTGACTTAATTACCGCAAATGGCATTAGGGCATAAAATTGAGCTATTTGGTAAAAATTCTATGTAATTGTATGCCAGTATTGAAAGAAACAATCAATCTGATAAGAAATGGCTGCGACTTGTTTTGAAAGTGAGGCATAAAAGGTTACCAGCAAGGATATTCTGCTTGGCATCAGTTGTACCATTACTGGCGACTTTATCACCTGCGCCGGCAAAATGGAAAAAGTACCAAAAATTGTATATAATGTACAGCTACCTATAGTTGAAACTTTTTTTGTATTTTTCATATTTTTTGGAATTTCTATAAGTTTTAATGAAAGAATTATTAACAGCTGCATTCACTATGTATAGAATATTAAAATTAATATTTCTTTCATAAAGTAAAGCACCCTTATGTGGTTATTCTTTTATCTTTATCCCCACTTTTCTCTGTATTCTAATCAATCTGTGAGAGACAGGTATGACGCCCAACTCTAGGAAAACCAGGGTATAAAAAGCTTATTATAGGACACCATATGGTGTAAACGACCATTTAATCAAAAGATGTGAATGAGTTCTGTGACTGAGCTCTCAGAACTCTTCAAGGCTGATGCTATGATGGAAATTTTGAAATTTTCACTCTTCCAAAGGGAAAGAGACAGTAGAAAATCTTATGTGCTTGTAGTTTTACTTTAGTTTATGCATGAAAATCTAATTTATAGCTTCTTTTTCAGGATCGTGAAAAACTAGAAAAGTTTTTCTCTTCTAATTTTTCAATAGAATTGAAAAACAAAGAATTGTGTTTGAAAGGATGGAATTGGGGAACTGCTAAATTTGAAGGTATATTCCAGAATTTTCTTAACTAGTTATATGTCTTTGTAGATATAATGAAATATTTTGTTATTATTTAATATATGGTGTGCTTGTAGAATAGGGGACTCAACGCTGACCCAGGTAAAAAAAAAAAGGAATCTGTTAATTGTAGTATTTGAAATGCTTTTCAGCATTTCAAGAAATGGAATTTTATTTTATTCTGGTCATATATACTTCAACATGGGGTTCCTCCACCCCTTCTCCAGCTATGTACTATCACAACCATCTTAGTAGAATCGTTAAATTTTCAAAATACGCCAAACACTGGCAAACATATGTATAACCATTCTTTGAAACCATGCTCATAATATTCCTTCACTGAAGCAATGTCATCATTTTTGTATGCATTCTTCTTGCTGTAATTCAAGTTCCAGTGGCTTTTATATAAACAAATCTTGTTATTTTTTACCATCAACTCAATTTTAATGTTTGCCAACTTACAATAAATACCAATAGTTTGCTTTTTTTTTTTTTTTTTTTTTTTTTTTTTTTTTTTTAGTCACCTAGTTTACACACTTAACCAAGTATTTTTTACTTTTTCATTTGAAAATTGTATCAAGGTGATTGCAAGTACTTTTTTATAATTGGTAATGAACCTAATAACGGCTTAAATGTAGTATTTAGACATTAGTTCTCTTGTACAATTCGTGATAATACATGTATAGATATAAGTTGGTGGGGCAGCAGAATTTTGCCATAGTTTGGTGTAGAATATACAGTACAGTAGGCCTTTAATATATCTGTGACCCAATGCTTGTGCAGATGAGTGAACTTGGTTAGAATTGACTTTAGGGTATCCCTTGTTGGGAAATTTTGAATCATGGAATGTTTTGCACAGGCTTTTGTGGTGTGTGTGTTGCTTAGGAAGTACATTGCTTGTTTCATTATTTAGACAGTACAATGGCTGAATGTAGTAAGATTAATTTGAAGTTTCTGTACGATTTGGAACGAAAGGCGAAAAGAGCGTTAAATGACTGGCGTGTAAATGCAGGTTTACTTAGTAGCCATTTTGCGGAAAGTCCGGAACTACATAGTATATGTTTTACTGTTATTTTTTTAAATTTATTTGGCAACGGCGATTACAGATTCTTGTTCAGATAATTTTAGGAAGTTTTTGGATGCTGTTAACGAATTATGTGTGCCACAGATTGAAGACGAACGAATTTCTAAGTAAGGTAAGCGGATATTTGCTTTCTCTAGTGCTTAAATGGATTTTTTTTAAATGTTATTTTATTGTTTGGTTTAAAATGTAGTTTATTGAGATTATGTATTTTATGTTTGCCTCTACTGTAGAATTGGGTGCTCCTTGACTTTTTAAGTGAAAATATATCGATGTGTACATGGACAAACTCAAAGGGAGTGTGTACGCATTGTTTGTGCAAATCTCTGATGTTTTTTTAAGTCAAAATAGGTCAATGTGTAAAGTCAAGGGAGTGTGCAAAGCCATTTTTGTGCCATTCTAGGATTTTTTTTAAGTCAAAATAGGTTGATGTTTACATGGATACCAAGTTTGTGCAATTCATTGTCTTGTTATTTTGCCTTTGTGTAACAGTGATTTTTAGCGCAAAAATCGCCGCTACGCAAGTCAATATAACAAGTCAATTGCACAAACTCGGTATCCATGTGCCGCCAAAAATTGCCAAGGGGGTATCCTAAAATATACTTTTACCATGAACTTTACAGTTCTGAATATTGTTTACATTTTCCCATTTCTAATTTTAACAATATATATATTATTTGCACATAAATAATTAAAATAAGAATATAATAAGAATTCAAAGCTACACTATTTTAAATGTAATTAATTATATATGTTCCTTAATATTATGATTTGGGAAAATAATTTCTGTCATTGCTCATTATAGTATCATTTAAATCGTTGTCCTATAATTTCCTCTTTTTTTTTTTTTTTTTTGTTTTTTTTTTTTTTTTTTTTTTTCTGTGACGTGCTTATTGTTTTATTTCTGGTATATTAAAAAATTTAGTTTTTCTACAGTTTAGATACTGTAGACCTAATGCTAAGCCCTCATCGAAAGTAATTTTTGTATCCTTGTAATTAATCTCAACAACTGAATTTTTATCAACTGGTTTAATTCACTTGAAATAATTTATTTGTTATTTTGGCTTGTGAAGTGGCGATTATTTCAAAAATCACCGCCACACAAAGCCAAAATAACAAGACAGAGAATTGCACAAACTCGGTATCCATGTACACATCGACCTTTTTTACTTTAAAAAAAATATCACGGAATTGCAGAAAAAAATGGCATTGCGAACTTCCTTGAGTTTGTCCATGTACACATCAATATTTTCACTTAAAAAGTCAAAGGAGCACCCAATTCTACAGTAGAGGCAAACATAAGATACATAATCTCAATAAACTACATTTTAAACCGAACAATAAAATAACATTTAAAAAAAAAAAAAAAACTATTATCCATTTAAGCACTAGACAAAGTAAATATCTGCTTATCTTACTTAGAAATTCGTTCGTCTTCAATCTGTGGCACACATAATTTGTTAACAGCATCCAAAAACTTCCTAAAATTATCTGATTTAGAATCTGTATATCGCCGTCGCCACATAAATTAAAAAAAAAAAAATAACAGTAAAACATATACTATGTAGTTCCGGACTTTCCGGAAAATGGCTACTAAGTAAACCTGCATTTACACGCCAGTCAATTAACGCTCTTTTCGCCTTTCGTTCCAAATCGTACAGAAACTTCAAATTAATCTTACTACATTCAGCCATTGTACTGTCTAAATAATGAAACAAGCAATGTACTTCCTAAGCAACACACACACCACAAAAGCCCTTGCAAAACATCCCATGATTCAAAATTTCCCATAATAATTCAAACGATTATGTCATAATAGGGTTTCCATGCCATTCAACTACTCAGGTTACCATAAATGAAACAACAACTTGGTGATAAACGAAACTATAACTTAGCGATAATGAAACAACTTCATGATAATACAAGGGGTACCCTAAAGTCAACTCTAACCTGGTATTCAAAATAATTTTCATGCTCTTAAATTAAAGCAAAAATAAAGTATACAAAATAAGTGTTTTTTTTTTTTTTTTTTTTTTTTTTTTTTTTTTTTTTGTGTGTGGTGTGTGTGTGTGTGTGTGTGTGTAAAATGCTATGTTATTTTTGTCAGTATGTGCAGTACATATGTGATGTTAGTAATTACATGTGCTGGAATTTAAATTTTAGATTTATTTTTAAAAATTCTCAGTTCACTTGGCACTCTAATCATGTCTATCTTCAGAAAATTTACATTTTTAAATACAGTTGCAACAGGAACAGAGCACAGTGAACTGACATCTAAGCAGCAACAGTTACAAGCAAAGTAAGCATTTGTCTGATATGTCAACTCACCAAACAGAAACAAAGTTTTTGGTTTTACAAAGGTTTCAGTTCTCTGAGTTTAGGTTCCAAAATAACTATGTCATCAGTGTTACACAAGCTTTGTGGTATAGATTAATCTAGAAATGATGCTGTCTAGAAATATTATTATTATTTTAAAATAAAGAAGAAATAACTAAGTTAAAAAAGAGCAATTAAAAGGCTGTTACTAAATTAAATTATAAAGCTAATTTACATATTTTTTTATCTTACATAGGGTACTTTCACTGTAGTAATAACTTTCTAAAACTGTGTCATATTTAAATACTAACTCTGCATTATGTCATTTAAAACTTCTGCATTGCCTGTAAGTTTCAGCCGATCAAATTAGCAAAAAAAAAAAAAAAAAAAATGTTTACCTTAAATACCGTTGCAATCCAGCTACCCTCCCTCTTTCTAGCTAGATTCTATTAAATAATGTAATGTGTCATTATCAAAATTGTGGAGTGCAGATTGGCCCCATTGTGATGTGCCATGCCATTGGGCAATCAAAAAATTATAAAGAGATGTTTGGATTATCAAGTGATTTTGTGATCCTTCAAAAGTTCTCCCCATCTTCTACTACGTAATTCATGTATTTTCAGTGATCTTCTAAAACCTTAATCTACTTTCAACTGCAAAATAATATCTTCTCTTGTCAAACACTCATCTCATATAAAATTACTGCAAGGAATTAATAATACCATCACACATACATATATATAGCTTTCTCCTTTTATATGTGTGTGTGTGTGTGCATGCCAGTCAGTCAGCTGAAAAGCTAACGCTGAAACATAAATTTCTTTGGACTGTTGTCTTTTAACATGAACCATGACACTGTCCAGATTTTTACTATAATCACATTTATGTAAATGTTTGTATTTTTGTATATATGTGCAGATTTGCTAAATATAATGATTTTTGAATGCACCTCAGCCAACTTGGTCTGCAACATGTTTCTCTGGACTTTCTTATGTATAAATTTTTATTTTCACCTAAGAAAGCAACCTTCAGCTTCTGAATTCATTTGCTCTTTTTTGATGTTGTTGTTCATGGGTGATAGAAAACTTTTCTTTCACACAAACATGCACTAAAAAATAAAATATTCAAAAGAGCACTGAAGAATAAAGGGATCTCTAACTTAAAAAATTATTTTAGTTAATAAATCCAGCTTCATTTTAAATGAGTAAATGAGCAACCTGTTAAACCCATAAAATTCTTCCCCCTCCCCATATATAAACCAATCATTCTAGAGTCTCTCTTCTGAGAGTCTTTTGGATTGTAAATGAGTAAACATCAGATAGCAGCTTGTGATTAAACTACTTGTACTAGAAGTGTAGCAGCTCATACATTAAATTCAGCTTAGATGTTAAAAAAATATGTGAATCTAAATATACTTCATACTCCCTTCTTCTTGCTTGTGACACTGTAATAATTGAAATATATATTTGCAGATGAATTCTGCATTCAATATACGTTATGTATCCAGTTAGTAAAACATAAAGAGAGTTCTGTCTTTCGATTACACATTGTTTTACACTTTGGATACATTCTTCATTTGCTTACTTGGGCAAATATTTCTATTTTGTTTCATTTATATTTTGTAACTAAAATGGTGTATCAAAAATATATTTATATCACCGATATGAGTATATTCCGAATAAAATGTATTACTTTTACATATTAATCCATATAGCGACAAATTAAGTCCATTCCATGGGTATAAAAATCTTCAAATAATTCAGTACTCAAAGGGTTAAAAAAGAAATAGTGTTATCCACTGTTGCTACTATGCATATGCTAGTAGACATATCTAAAAACATCATAATTCTGTTCTCCAGTCGGCAGCACAGCTGCAAATCATCTGGTGCAGACTGGCCAATGAGTACAAAGGAAGGCTGTATTGATAAATAATTGAGAATAAATATTTGTCCCCATGTATAATATTATATGGTTTTGTCAGTTTCCACACCATCATACTCAAATTCATATTGAATAAGACTGATTGATTGAAATTTGAATAAGACGTAGATATTTGTCTCTGTGAACTGTTTTTTTAAAATAAAAACACTTAAAATGTGTAGATTCAAATCTTTTAAGAAGGTGGTAAGGGAGAAGAATTGCAAAATCTTCAAATTTTATCTGCAGGGGATATCCGAGTCGGTAATGGAATTTTTGGTACTCTCCTCTTATCGGGATCAGATTAAGAATTGTATGTATGCATATGTGTCTGTATACACAAAACCTATATAAATGCGTACATACATATATACGTGCAATACAGGAGCACATACATCCATTCAAATATACATTTTGGAATCTAGTCCCAATAACCGAAGAGTTCTGAATTTTCTCATCTGCTGCCGAAAACCTTTACTGAATAGTGGCAGTTTTGTTTAGCTCCATCAGCGATAATTCATGGAGCTATTCTGGTGTTTAATGATAGAAATGAACAACAATAGAATTAGAACTATGTGTATATTATCTCATTCTGAATATCTTTTCCTAGGTTCTGTTCTATCTTTTGATGTGGATAAGAACACTGCATTTGAAGTACCTCTTCCAAATGTTTCTCATTGTATCAATGCAAAAAATGAAGTAACACTTGAATTTCATCAAAATGATGAAGCTGCAGTATCTCTGATGGAGCTCAGATTCCATATACCCCCAGATCAAAATTCTAGTATTGATCCTGTTCAGGTATGGTTTTAATTGTTTATTTATTGCTAGTTTATTTAATTTGTTATTTGTAAATGTCTAAAAATTTCTTATTGTAAAACATGTTGAATTACTGCTGCAGAATTGTTTTGTATGCTTAAAACAATACTTCAAATTTCTTTGTATTGAAATGTTAATGAAGCTGTACAGCCTAGTTAATTATTTCTGTTTCGAGGAGGTGAAATTTCAAAAAAAAAAAATTTCTTTAAATTTCAATCCTTCCTTTTTTTTCCCCGTATTTATTGCACTTTAGTATCATAGCTGGATTTAAATTAAGTTACTTGCATCTGTATTGTTTTGAAAGTAAAAATTAATAAACTTAATTACTTGATGTATGGAATAAAATATTTTGTAGTGTCATATATTCTGGTTCATAACATGCAACTATAATCTCAAACTACATTTTTTTTTAAATTTGCATGTATCTTCACCATATAATTCACTTTCTTTTTTTTTTTTACAAAGATATCTGAAAGAAAGATGTGTGATGCTCTTATCTTTTGAAGTCATTCATTTTTTTTTCAAGAATTTTCCAGGACTTTCAAACAACACTATACTGAATTGACCAGCAATAAGGGGAACAATATGTGTCTAGAGTAAATGCTTGAGGTGCAATAATTCTGCGAAGAGGGTGGGTTGTGTTCAATGCAAGTGTGTATGAGAATTTTATTTTAGGATTGAAAAAAGGGGGGACATGATTCGGGATAAGAATGTACTTATAATGGTTGAATGTTAGGGAACTGCAGTGAATACATTCAAGAGGTATCATTTTATGTCCTAGAGAAAGAGTTTGGAAGATCTTGCGCTGAGCGATATGCCAGCTTCACTCTTATGAACTGGCATTAAAGCATGCAATGAATGATCTGGATGAACATGCAGTGGATCTTGTTGCATTTTACAAACCTGTAGGTAAGAGCTTGGTCAACTATGATTATCTTCCAGTAGCTGATTTTCAACCACTTGAAAAATGGGGAGATGATTTCTTTTATAATCAGAGTATATGCTCCAATGTGGTTTTGCGTTAGTTCCACTGTTAAGGATGCTTTCTTGAACTTGTGACATACTCTTTTGTTCTCTCTATACCTCAGTGATAATGGTTATCCTGGATGGTTCCATTCATCGAAATTGTTACGCTGCACATCCGGAGAATCTGCTCGCAGACGAACAGAAACCGTTTTCTAGAGGTGTGTGAAGAAATCTCACCTGCCAGTACTCAAATTCAAAATTCTGTCACCCAACAATAATGTGCGAGACTAAATTAACATTATTGACAGAATTGTAGAATTACAGAGCCACCTCTTATATCTCATCAAGTGAAGATTTGAAATAGAATATCAGTGAAGACTTCCCACTTCTTGTGCTATTTTTACTTCCTGTGCCTTACACAGATTGTTGAGAGGTGTGTTAAAGTTGTTACGGATATTTATGATGAAGTACACCTCCTGCTTACTTTCAAAACTAAGTTCGAATTCAGAGGTAGGAAGTAAAGACTAAGGACACAATACGAAAAAGTAGAGGAATTGGGATGGACAAGAGTGGAACTTGTTATGCAACTATCCCTTCATATTGAGTTCTGGTCATTGAACTGTGAAGATTTGCATTTTTATAAAGTAATTCCTGCAACGATAAATTTAAAAAAATTCACAATTGATATATTAGTTAGTGGACAACTTTTTTTGAGGGGTAATTTGTTTTCATCCAACAATTTCGTTGTTTTATTGTACCATTACAAAATTTTTCTTGTGGGAGATGAAGTAAAGAATTGTATAAAAATTCATGAGTAGTAGATTGGTCAATACACAACTTTTGAAGGATAGTGCATTTTCATACGACAGCTATTAAAAAATTTTATGGTCCCCCCCCCTCTATTTATTGAACACAAGTAAACCTCATGCAGACGCTTCTGATTTAACTACATGTACTAGAGATGTAGCAGCTCTTGGCTAATAAATATATAAATCCAAAATAACCATCTTAACCCTTCCTTGTTGCTTCTGGCATTGTAATAACTGATGTATCTCTTTGCAGAGTCAAATCACACCAGCAAAGTCCCCTAGCATTTCATCTATGGAGCATTATATGCCTTCGGTCTCTTGAGAAAAGCTCTTTCTAAGTGCAAACCTACCATTATCAATGGACCTAGAAATTAGTGGAAGAGGACTAAAAATCAATACCCCTAGAAATTTGTGAAAATCCCTTTTGTCTTGGAAATCGCAATGCAGACTTATAGTCCAGAAAAAATGTCTATCAAATTGAGCATTAAAAAAACCTCTTAAGTTTTAAACTTTAATTAAACCCCATTCTGAAAATGTATAAATACCCTCTATTTGGATCATATAAAAAGTCTCTGCATTTTTTGGTACATTTTTTGAACAAAAATTTTCTTTATTGAAAATAAATTTTAATCAACTGCATATTCACCATTATTATCTATGACATTTGGCCATTTTGTGGGTAGCTTCATAATTCCATCGGTGTAGAACTGCGGTGTTTATCGTCGAAAAACTTGGCCAAGTAATTTTCAGCGGTGCTTCGGTCGGCCAATTTTTTACCATCAAGAGGGTTTTGCAGAGACTGAAAGAAATAATAGTCGAATGGTGCAAAGTCTGGGCTATACGGTGGGTTCATCAAAACTTCCCAACCAAGTTTTGTTAATTTGTTCCGAGTCATCAAAATTGTGTGTAGCCACACATTGTCATGATGGAATACAACTCCCTTTCTGTTGGCCAATTCTGGTCAGCTTTTCTGGACTGCTTCGTTCAAACGGTCGAGTTGTACACGTTACAGGGTCGAATTGATGGTTTCACCAGGTTGCAGCAGCTCATAATGGACAATTCCCTTCCAATCTCGATATCAAAATTTCTGGAATGGACAAACCACTCGTGGGTCCTTCCTTCACTCGCAGCATTCTCACCATATATTTCACAAATTTTTCAGTATTTGTACCTTTTTTATAGTAGAAAAGCATCACATAGCGCATTTCTTCAAATATTTCACTAATTTTCAAATTAATATAACTTTTTATGCCATCAATGAATTAGAAAACTAAACAATGTAAGCCAAATGTTGTCTTTTAAGCATGTGTCCGTTTTTGAGACAATCGGGTGAGTATTGCCGGATATATAGGCATCAATACCATCTAGTGGCAAGAAAAGTGGAGGCTTTTTATATTACTCAATATATAGCGTGTAATAGAACAATTAAATTTTTATCTTTAGTTTTAACTTGAAGTTGCTTTAATATAGGAAAATTATATAAAGGTTACCTCGGGAAATACTGTAATAACAAGGAAAATACCACAGCAACAATAAGAATATTTTAAGGGTCTTCACTGCGCCTGCTGCAATGCATTTTAGTGATGATTATAGATATATTATTTGTTTCTGTCTAGAATTTTAATTTTTTTATTACCATATAGAAAACAGAATTCAAAAATCTCATAAATGTATATGGTTTATTGGGTTCTCATTTCCCCTTCCTCTAATTATTTGTGTTGTATTTACTTCAAAAATAGATTTAGTGATATTTCTGCTTGAGTGACAAAATAAAAATTTCTAATTAAATTTGCATTTAATTTACAAGAAAAATTTATAATATTCTTGGGTTTTAAGTTAAGTGTAGACTAATAAATTTAAGAAAAATATGTGTTATGTAACATATTTGAAGTTGTGAAAATGTGATTTTATGTACTGACCAGCTGTGCTGTAGGTTGAAGTCTATGTAAATCTGCCATATCCTTATGCAGTTGTTTTGCAAGTCTCTGTTGACAGTGTAAGATTACTATAGAATGCTCATCATTGGGCTTTGTTTATTAATAAACAACTGTGTTAAAAGCTATCCATGTCTCTAATACAGTGCTAGGAACAATATCAAACACATTGATTGTATTTTTCTCACTTCGCATTTACTCTGGGTTCTTAGTTAATATTCTTCAAATAAATTTCCTAATGTCCTTACTGTTGCATCCAGTACAAAGTGAAACTCACTAAACATCTGTAAATATCATACTTACTTGTGGGAAAGTTCTCATACTCTTTTTTTTTTTTTTTTTTTTTTTTTTTTTTTTTTTTTTTTTTCCATTTATGTGCTACATCATTGTTTTTAATGTCATGATAAAAATTTGAAGAGTTCTCTTTTACCATAGGCTTACTTAATTTTAAACAGGTTAAGTTTTTGATAGTTGTCCTATAAAAATAGTGCTGCTGCTGCTCTTTAAAATTACAATTAGAACCTTGAATACATACAAATTTTATTGCAAATTTAGATACGCAACATCACTATAAGCTATTTTGTTTAATTTCAAATCATAGCCTTTAAAAAATGCTGCTGATCCTTTCTAATGTCACATCTAAAGATTTGCTTATATACCAGCTTTCTTAGTTATGAAAATTACTACAAACTCTTTGATGTAATTTTGAAGCCAGTGAATGAAAATCTGTGCTTCATGAAGCTAATAATCTGGATATATTCTTTTTTATTTTTACAAAAATGATTAATTTTATTATGTACGATATGCTGCTATTAGTTTTGTATTTAAAAAAATATTCATTTGGCATGGAAGGAATTCAAAACTAATATATAAGTTCCTCTTATATGATAAAAATTGTCCCAAAATAGAAACTAAAATAATGCCTTAGATAAAAGTTACAGTACTAGTAACTTTAAAATTGTATTTCTTTAAAAAAATATCCGTTTATTTAATTATTTTTACATAAAAATATTTCATCGCTATGTTGAAAGATCAATACTTTTATATTTCAGGCTTTTGTTGACAATGTTTTAGCTAAAGCAAGTATTATACAAGCAACTGGAGATGCTATTGTCACATTCAAGGAGCTTCAATGCTTAACTCCTAGGTAAACTAATTATTTTAGAGTTGAAGTTGCTGATATTTCTTGTAACAGTTTGTATATGTCATGTCTTACCCGTGTAATTTTTTAGGGGTCGATATGACATCAAGATTTTTCCAACTTTTATACAACTTCATGGCAAGACTTTCGATTACAAGATTCCTTTGACAACCATCTTGAGACTGTTTTTATTACCACACAAAGATGGCCGCCAAATGTTCTTTGTGGTGAGTTTGCATTGTGTTATTAAAGGTGGTTTTTTTTTTTTTTTTTTTTTTTGTTTGTTTTTTAATAAAAGCATAATATGACAAATAGGTTCTCCATTCTTAGCACTACTCTGAAACAAAGATTATGCCACCATACATGCTAGATTTTTAGTTTGAGCAGAACAAATTGTATTATAATATTTTTTTCGATGATATTTTGTTGCTGCTATTAATAGTAGTAACAAAATAATTAGGAGAAAATGTGTTTTAGTTTGAAAAATTAAAACTTTGCAAATGATTCACTAGTATTTTTCTAAAAGGACTTTTGTGTAATAACTCTTAAGGGCAAAAATCATGAAAATTCCTTAGTATTTTAAATAATCTGGCAAACATTCTAATATGTTAGCTACTGATATGAAATCAGGTTGTTATGGGGTCTGATAAGTCTATATCATCCATGATCTCATAAAGAAATAGTGTCTTAATTATTTATTGTGTATTGCCTTTAGCTAGCTCATCTTCTATTCCAATATTCACCAATGGCTAAGTAGACCAGAGTAGTTGTTTAGTGTTTTTAATAGTAGTAGATTTGAAAATCTTTCACAAAAGTATCTTTACCGTTAGGCTATATATATTTTCCACTGCTTAAGAAATTAAAAGAATTTTGTATAATCCTAGTAGAAATGTCTTTATTGAAAACTTTAGATAGGACTATTAAACAAATTTCAGTTAACAACAGGAACAATATTACCACAGAAATTCAAAAGAGAGTCATTGCAGTGGAATATGCTTCAGTGGAATATATATATATATATATGCTTCAGTGGAATATGAAAATATGTGAAATCAAGTGTAGTTCAAAGAAAAACAAAGGTTTTACTGTATAAGACCCTTATAAGACCAATTCTGATGGATGCATGTGAAACTTGAACTATGACAAACATATTGACACATGTTGGGCATTTTTGAAAAAAAAGTTTTGAGAAGTATTTATGGAGGGATACAAAAAGGTGGTGTGTTTCTTAAAAAAAAAAATCAAATAATGAGCAATGTAGCTCATATTATGAACCTGACATGATTAATTTTGTTAAATGCGAAAGAATAAAATGGACAGGCATAATATCAGAATAGGTGAAGACCGTTCAACAAAAAAGTCATCCACAGCAGACCAACAGGCTCACGGAAAAAAGGCAAACCAAATCTATGATGGTTAAACTGCCTAGAAAATGACCTAATGCTCTTAAAAACGAAAAACTGGAAAATGCTAGCAGGGAGAAAATTGGCCTGGAAAAAGCTTGTTGAGAAGGCCAGGGTTCACCCTGGGTTATTGTGCCATTGAGGAAGGATTAAACAGATTTCAAATGTATTGCCATTCTGTAGTAATTGATACATGAAGAAAATGGAAAATTCACTTGTGGAGTTCTCAAATCTTTTCGTGCTTCAGTTATGGTTTGTATAATATATTAGAAAATAGAATAGTTTAAAATCTTTGAATTGTAACTTTGTAATTTTTGGTCCCCCCCAAAATGTGTATAAAATTCGTAATGTTAGCATTAGATAGAACTATCACATTTCTTTTGAGCAATATCTATTTAATTTTATTTAACCTTTATCAAAATTGCAATGATTTTTCAGTGTTCAAGAACTAATTTTTATTATTATTATTTTAAATTTTTAATTTTTTAAGAGGTATTGAGTATACTTCTAGCTAAAACAGAAATTTTTTGAAAAAAATACTTTGTAGGTAGATACACGTTTTGTTATTAATCTTGTAATAAATATCCTATGCATATGTACATTTTGCTAATTTACATGATTCTCACTTACAGCTAAGTTTAGATCCTCCAATCAAACAAGGTCAAACCCGTTATCACTTTCTCATTTTGTTGTTTTCGAAAGAGGAGGAGACAACAGTGGAACTCAGCCTGTCAGAGTAAGATTAATTAATGCCTAGTAATATTTATGATTCTATGGACCAATTATTTTATTAAATATTTTTATCTTTTATTATGTAGCAGATTTTTACTTTACGTTATTTGATTGCAGGGAAAGTATCAAGGAAAAATATGAAGATAAGTTACATAAAGAAATGTCTGGCCCTACTTTTGAAGTTATTAGTAGAGTTATGAAAGCAATAGTTCAAAGAAAAATCACAGTTCCAGGTTCATTCAAAGGGTAGGCATTTTTAAAATAATTTTTTCATTGGATTGGGCAAGCTAAATAATAAATATACTTTCCTTGTCCTGAGAAACATTTGTAATGGGCTGTGGTGTGAATGAAAACATATATGAATGAATTATTTTCTCTTGACTGCTCTTCCTTCCTAGTTGTCAAATATGAAATTTCTTGGAAATTCAGGACTAACAGTGGGATTTTTTATTAGTGCATTATTCTTTCTTCTCCCAAAACTGGAATATAGAATATAAGATTTTTCAAGGACAAATTGTATTTTGAATAACTTCAATTGACCTTTGAGCAGCATACGAGTATAATGGTATGGATAGTATGGGTTTGCTTTTATATGCATTTTTTATTAATAAGTATAATGAAAAATTTAAAAGCTTGTTAAGTGATTGTAAAATTTCGAAGGTAAGGCATGTAGCCTAGAAATATGGGGGGGGGTCACAAAAAAAGTTAAATATATCATGAATATATAAAATATATGTGAATACTAATTTTTACCATAAATTAAGCAGAAAATACATGTGAGGGCTGTCTGAAAAGTGTCTGACCTTGATATGTATATGGCAGCTCAAATCAACTGAAATGGGGGGAATTTGTTTGGGCATCAGTCAGTCAAAATTTCAGCTGTTTTAAATGCAAATTTTTTGTTTGGCAATTACTTTTGCGAGTTAATATGACCATTTTTGGAAAAATGGTAAAAATTGAGTATCGTGCTGTTTTAGATACTTGTTTTTGAAAGGAAATATACTAACTCAGATTAAAGAGGAGTTGGACACGGTTTATGGGGACTTTTTTCTTACTATTAATCACTGTAGATGAAACCTGAATTCATCATTACCGCCCAGAAGCAAAAAGTCAAAAGAGTGGATTACAAAAAGAGAATCAGCTCCAAAAAAGGCAAAAACTGTTCCTTCTGCTGGGAAAGTGACGTTGATAGTTTTCTGGGACAGCCATGGGATTGTCTAGATTATCTTGAAAAGGGGGAAACCATTACTAGAGCATACTATGCAATGTTACTTGGCACGATGAAGGCAGAAAAATGGCCAAATTTGCAAAGGAAAAAGAAAAAATTTATTTCACCAAGATAGTGCTCCATCTAGCACTTCAACGGTTGCAATGTCAAAAATCCATGAATGGTTTGAACTGCTTGACCACCCACCCTGCACGTCAGACCTGGCACCAAGTTACTTTTTTTTTGTTTGTTTGTTTGTTTGTTCAATTAGCTAAAAGGAGGAGTTGGAGGAAAAAGATTTTTGTGAAATGAGGAGGTTATGAACTTTGTTAATAACTATTCTGCAGAGAAATATTCTACATATTGTTTGGGCATGTTAAAAGGATGGGAGCATCGTTGGAAGAAATATATAGACTTACAAGGAGAATATGTCAAAAAATAAAGGTAATTTTGGGAGAAAAAAATATTTTTTCTTTGTTAGGTCAGATGCTTTTCAGACAGCCCTCATATAGTATCTTCAGTTTTTTATATCATATCATTTAGAATAATACTGATATAAGTGTTAATTAGTAGATAGTTCATCATGCAAACAAGAATTGTAAATTAAAATCATGAATAATATAATGCAGTGTTATTCAGGTATTTTCTTCTTATCGTTTTATTCCGAGTTCTGAATTTTCCTCTTTCTAGCTTGCTTAGCTGTCTAATAAAAGCTATACACAGAAGTGCATTAATTGACTATATATTATAAGCAGGCCAATAACAGTAGTCTATAATAATTAAGCTTTTAATAAGTCAAAAATTACTTATGGATTTTTAATAATATGGAGCTGATGTTCATACCTTTGTTTTCTAATAGCAATATCAATTTACTTTTGGCTTCCATTGCTGTTTGAGAGCCTAGTTGCCTTAGCAAGTCATTTATTATATATTCAGCAAAAATCAGGCCGAAAAATATATTTTAGTTTCATGAAGTTTTAACTGTGTAAAGTTAAAATAACCTGTGTAAATAACCTGTGTAAAGTTGGGGAATGAATGCATGGGATGATAAAACATGATATTTTTATTTGTGCACACTTTTAATACAAAACATAAGATTGAAATTTACAGTTAGTTGCGCATTATACACTAGATATAAAATTGATAAATTTTAAAATAAGGAAAAAAATGAGCACACAGAAATTAGATTTCTTCATGTATCCAAATCCTGTTTATTTAAAAGAAATGACATACTTTATGAACTTAAAAATTGTCATTATTGGATAACATGAAACATTCATCCTATTCATCTTCCGTTATATCTTCAGGCACATCATTGAATTCTGTTTCATCTTCGCCATCTATGTTATTCTGATCCATAAATAAGTACAGTCAAAAGTCGTTAATCCGGACTCGTCGGACTTCGGCGATTCCGGATTATCGATTTTTCCGGATTATAGATCATCAGTTTAAATCTCGTAAGATGGCATGCAGAAATTCCAAAATTAAAAATATGAAACCGTAATTTATGAAATAAAGAACAATTATGATCTAAAGGGTATCAAAATTTGCAAAAAGAAAAAGCTTAATATTTATTTGTTTACTTTATTAAACATTTCTTTCAATGTAAGTTGTTTAAGTTTTGCTTCGTTTCATGTGATAATACTTTCTCTTTAATTCTATTAAACAGACATAATTTCTTGTTCAGTTACAAAGTTCCGCCGTTCAAGTCCTATAATTGCTGTGTCAAGAACACCGACTAATTTGTCAATCGAAATTTTTTTTGTTTTCAATAACCTCTGTCACTTTTCTTCGCTATCGGAAGCGAATTATAATGACGAGGAACTTGTTTTAAATCATATCAAAGACGGAGCATATCGAGATGAAATACTACATTTGGTAAGGAATTATAAGCCAAATAAAATAAAAACATCTGCGCTGAAGATAAGGATAGTGCTGACAAATTAACTTCCAATTCATTACGCGCCCGCCGCCGAGCAGCGTGAAATTGATAAACAGATTTCGGATTTCAAAACATACTTTTGCTTTAGATCCTTTACATATTAACAAATATATATCGGAAATTCTATTTGATATAATCGAAAGTTTAAGCTTACTTTTATAAAATTCCTCTTACAGTCTGCAAAAAATAATAAGCCGGATGCAATTCGAAAATTAAGGAACAACGCAATCATCAACATTAACTGAAATAGATAATTATTTAGCTTATACGTCCATTATACATAAAATGCGCACGCAAAAACGTATTCTGCACTTGCGCACACTCATATGCGCAGTCGTAAAAGGTCTTACGCGCACGCGTGAACGCCTCTGCGCATGTGTCAACGCGGCGCATGCGCAGAAAATTTTTAGTTTTGATGTCCGGATTATAGATCATTCCGAATTATGGGTGTCCGAATTAACGACTGTTGACTGTACTTATCTTCCATTCCATCTAAATCGTCAGATATACCACATTTTTAATGACTTTTGAATGATGTCGGTTTTAAATTCATTCCATGCTTTTATTATTCCCTCGCACACTATTTCTAGACTGGCATAATGCATTGGCCTCCTTTTGTAAATGTTTTTTCATTCTTCAAATATCCACGTATTCCGATGTCTTTTTAAATTGTTTTTGAATGGTTTATTGATACACGTATATAAAGGCTGAATTAATGGCATTAATCTACCTGGAATAACTGTCAAGTCCACATTACACTCTTTCAACGATATCTTATTAATATCCATTAGATGGGATTTGAGCATGTCCCAAACTAAAAGACTTTCTGAACTGTTTAAGGCAACAGGACACTTTTGCCAGCCATATCTTATGCACTGTTTTCATTCATAACTCCTTTCTCATGAGATTTATTAAGAGCCTGTTTCGGAAATTACATATTGGCAAGCTATATGCCGAGGTGAGATTTTTCGTGACTTGTTGTTTTTATTGAATAAATTTTGTTTATTTCATATCAGTTGTTTTATTTCCTATCAATCCTTGTTTTATATCCTATAAGTGTATCAAACATTACTATAGTTTCACTCCTATTTCCATTATGTGACAGTAAATATTTTTTTTTCCTTTCATAGATCAATAACATACTTCTGGAAACTTATTAATTTGTTGTCCAAATCTTTTGGCAGCCTTATATGTTTTTTTTTTTTTTTTTTTTTTTTTTTACTACATAAGACCCAGTTCACAATGCCTTCTTCTAGGATAGACCATTTCGTTACTCCTGTATGCTGTATGCGAAGCATATTTGCTCTTTGACACATTAATTATGGCGGTTTCATTTTTCTTTCGTTCTTGTACACACCAAACATCCTTGTTGCAGTAAGATTTCCACTTTCTTTCACAAACTGAATGACTTTGCGTTTGAAACCAGCACTGTGTTTGTTTCGTTTCGCAGTAGCCATATTTACTACTAAAAGGAACACTGGATCAACTGTATTTCAACTCGAACAGATGCGATTTACTAAACCTTCAATGTTCTCTTAAATCATATCTTCAAATGACTGCAGAAGAGAAAACATCTGACTCGCAATTCTGCGAATTCATTTTGGTCAAAGGTGCATTCTTATCCAAAATTATGTCCCTGTTTTCTCAAGACTTTTGACTAACATTCTCGTGCACATCTGCATCGAATACAACCCACCCTCTTTTGTACAATTATTTACTCCATCAAGCATTTCCCCCACAAAATATTGTTTGACAAGTAATAAAGAGATATTGCATCTGAAGTTAAATAATTTCCAAAGCTACAAATATGAAATAAAATTTAAGCAAATGTTCTTATTGTAAAAATGTGTTAATAATATTTAATCAATCATTCTGTTCTTCTTCCTCTAGGCATAGTGGAACGCAGGCAATTGCTTGTTCTTATCGTGCTGGAAATGGTTTACTGTATCCCCTTGAACGAGGTCTAATTTATGTTCATAAACCACCTGTGCACATTCGTTTTGATGAAATTGCCAGTGTGAACTTTGCTAGGAGTGGTGGTAGTACCAGATCCTTTGATTTTGAAATTGAAACTAAAAGTGGAGTAGTACATACCTTTAGTAGCATTGAAAAGTAAGCACTAAAATCTATACATTTAAATTGAATTTAAGTTTTTAATTATGTTAAAATATAACTATTAATTTGCATGATTAAATTTTGTTTATGTTTTTAACTGTATGAAGTTAAAAAATTTATAGTTGAGTTTAACATGCTAAAGATGAAATATATTGTTGTTGTATTGTCATTTGGAAAATGTTTTAAGTTTTAAATAGTTTAGACCAGAACATATTACATTCAAAAAACATTTATTCTGAAATGTAGAATACTAGTACTTAATTAAATGCTAATAACCACCAGTATAAATGAGAATATTTACTAATACTGTAGCATAATTGTATGCAATTGTTATTCTCAAATTAGTTTTTCAAATTAATTTATTTGTAGAGAATTTCTCAGTTCTGCTGTTCTAGTAATGTGTGCAAGTGCTTATTTTGATTATATATATGTATTTTTTTTTTTTTTATCTTAGAGAAGAATACGGGAGACTATTCGACTTTGCAAATTCCAAGAAGCTTCGAATTAAAAATAGAAATTCTGGTCTGGTAAGAATTTTCATTTAAATATTTATTATTTAGGAATCTAGGAAATTTTTTGTGTAATTTACTTAAATTACGTGACCAATTAATTTGTTTAATATGGAAGATTTAAACATTTATGAAGGCTTAAAAAGTAGTAGTTCTGAGTGAAGTGCTATATTTACATTTTAGTGTATATGAAAAAATATGCAGTAGACTAATTTTTTAATGTTTAATTAATTTAAAATACATACTTCCGAATTCATATTCCTGAATCTATTCTTTAGGCCACTTATTAATAGAGTCAAGGTTTGCAACAAAATACAGGATGTGTTTCAAAGTTTTCAAATCACGTGCTTTCTCACGACCATTCGTGCTTTCTGTTCCAGGTCGCAGTAGTGCATTGGGGAATTCAAATCTCATCGTTGGCCTTTAATTAGAATTATCTTCATCAGCATTTATCATAAGTTTATTTCTTAAGAACATTTAGCTCAGTCTTTCTTTATTTTTTCCAACAATGTCATATTAGAAATTTTTCTAATTTTCTAGTCTCTTAACAGTTTATCTGTACTTTTCATTAGTGCACTTTATCATCAGGCTAATAGAGTATTATGAAATAAAATATGAGAATGATTCAATATATCACAGTTTTATATCAAGTAAGTTTGGCTTTTCTTTTTTTGAATAGACTGATTTTTTGTGTGTATTTTCACAGACAACAAAAGAAAAACCTGTCTACAATGAAGATGAGCTTGTAGATTCAGACGTTGAAGATGAACCAGATGCCTATCTGCAGAGAGTGAAGGCCGAGGGTCGGGAACGAGAGGAAGGAGGAGGTTCCACAGATGAAGAATCATCGGATGAATCATTTGCACCAGAGGAAAGTGGAAGTGAAGTTGCAGAAGAGTAAGCTTTCAATTATTTTTCACAATTAAGATCCAGATCATTTCACTATTACTGTGTAAATAATGAGAATATCAGTATGTTGTTCAAAATCATATCAAAATTTAACAACTGCAAGTATTAAATTTAAAAGAAATCTATGTCCATAAATGAGAAAACATGAATTGTTCTAAGGCTTTCTAGCTGTGATATAACGTTGCTTTGAAACATGTTACTGTGTCTGTAAAATACTTACTGTTGTTTTACTTTTACAATTTTTACGTAAGGTAAATGTTTATGTATTTCTGAGTGTAGTAATATATTTCTTTAATTTTCTTCTGTGAAACATCAAAAAACTGCAGTGGGATTGTATGTGCAAATACATTAATGTTAGATATATTGGAAGGAGAGCTTTTTAAAAAAAAATTATTATTTTAGGACAGGAGTGTCAAACTCATTTTGTATGCTTATTATTTGTGCAATCTGGAAATAACTGAGTTTTTACCCCTATTTGAATTCTGAAGTTTGGTACTTGCAAGAATTCACTTAAATTTAAACTAAAAATAAATGAAGTTTGATAATTTTCTAAGTTTTGAAAAAAAAACTTTTCCAAATGAGACAAAATAATAAATAATGATAATTTCTTTCTTTTATTTATTAAATTTTTTCTTTGGTACATAAATAAAAAATACATATATTTATATGCAAATATTGTAAACTTTACTTCTTACTACAGTTTGTCACTTTATGGTATTAGATTCTGATAAAATTTGTAGCCTTGGAGAGAACTTACTGGAAATTTTCTTTATCACAGATTGTAGATGTGCATCGGTCAAGGTCTTTTGTTATCAATTTTCATTAGTGTAAATTTAAAATATTTCTTAAAAACTTGTATATGAAAGTTAAACAGCTTATCAAGTTTACATTAAACGGTTTTGGGTGTGAAGTTAAAAAATAATTATTGTAAAAGGAATCTCTGTGTTTATGTATGTATGTGCCTATATATATACACACATATGCTTGTGTGTATATATAATATTAATATATTGGAGAGGTTTATAGATAGAATGATGAGAGTTTCGCATAGCACTTTGACGAAAACAATTTAAGAACCCATCGGTCAATAATAATTTTAGAGCTTTAGTAATTGTCCGGTTAAATTATATTAATACCGAAACTGTAGTTTCGGTATTAATATAATTTAACACAATAATTATTATTTAATCACATTTTAATTAAAATTTTATCCTAAATACATCGTACTTTGTTTCTGCACCTTAGCCAAGCTAGACTGCTTCTTGCTGCTCCCTTCTTATCACAATACTCTTAAAAATTTAAATATTATGTTCTGGACGATTAGTCTGGCATGATTAGTATGCCAAGTTATTTGTGGCTGTAAAATGTTAAACCAAAAGAAATAATTTTTAGATCTGCTGTAGATTTGTTACATCTGCAATAATGTTTCATATTTTAGTATCTCATGTGAGCAACTTCCCAGATCTCACATATATGTTAATAAAAAAATTGCTGTTTTCCTGGAAATATTCTTTGAAGTTCATCGATTGTGGTGGAATTTCAAGAAAAGGAGCATATTTTTTTTCTGTGTGTACTTTAAATACCTTGTACAAAAAAATGGGACAGTTCACTGTACCGATTTTCGAAATTTAACTTGCGTTTTCCATGTTTTGAAAGCTTGACTTAGGATATATATTTGATTTGTATATAATGTTATTCTAACATATAGGTATTTTGACACAAAATGTTTTTTTTTTCCCCTTCCCAGAAATAACATCCCCCCCCTTTCACTTGGCGAACTTCTTAATTTATAGCAACCTATTTTCCTTTCCTTTTTTTTTACAAACAAAAAGAAATATAGCTAAAAAAAAAAAAAAGCAAGACATTAACAGGGTACAACAGGATAAGGATGGGCTCTCTAGGGGGAAAAAAAAAAAAAAAAATTCTTAAAAAATACTGAAACTCTCTATCAGACATGTCTCTGACTTTTAAATTTGAGTGACCGTATGAAAGTTGTGATATTACAGATTTGATACCATATGCAATAATTTAAGTATTAAAATTGTATACATATAGCTAATACAGTAGAACTCCAATTATCCAAGTCAGGTGGGACCAGACACCATTCGGATAATCAAAAGTTCTTAGTTTTTTTTTTTTTTTTTTTTTTTTTTTTTCTTTAAGAAAGGGTACAAGAACTCTTGAATTAATTACTGTATGTTGAAAATGGGAGAAAAAGAGGTTTTAGTTAATTAAAAGGAAAAGGCAACACTTTTACGTACGTGTTGTATAGCATTCTGTACAGAACTTACAAGTGTTGAAAGTCATTTCTTGCTAAACATCTCGGTCAAAGTAAGCTATTTGTCTGTCCTCATCCGTTTTCGGGCAGCCAAATCACGCATCCACTTCGCAATGAGAAGTTGCATGTGGTCACACTCGGGCTAACACTTCTTCCACTTCGCTAGCTCTTCGCACTGATTGTCCCGTGTCTGCTTCAACTTTGACATAAGGTCATCTTCTTCCTCGACATTTTCTTCTTTCACACTTTTAATAAGTTCATCATCAATTAGAATTTGAAATCTAGAGTCTGATGAATCACACACCATTTGCTCCTTTTTAATGTCTGAAATCAGTCTAACATTGTACATCTCAACCAATTGTGTACCCGTAACTCCTTTATCTAATTTCTCTTTAATTTTTAATTTATCCACTAACAATAAGACAACACATTTTCTTTTAAAAGCCTTGGGGAATGACAAAATGAACTCGCAACCAAAACAATGCACCGACACAAAAAAAGTACCGTCACAGTACTGTAGCAGGTCAACGATACACTGACTGACTGGTAATCAAACTGTACTGTAGCCAATAATAGAACTGCACTATGAGATGGTGTTTTATCATCCCAGTAATGTTTGCGTTATGCCTACACTAGCTTCGCAAAGGGAAGGATAATAGCACACATAGACAGAATCGTTATTTTGCGAATTGCAGTGTGTTTCCGTATTAATTTTTTTCTTAAATTCTGAAAGCAATCCTGATAGTCAGAGTTCAGATAATTGGAGTTGTACCATACTTTTAAAAGATGATACTTAAGTGACTTGATAACAAAATTTGACCATGTTATTAATTTAAATCTAAATTTCCTGATTAAGATTGTTTAATGTCATTAAAATTATTGAAGCTATATACTTTTGGCATATTGTCCTTCAGCTTAAATTTCATTATTGTTATCATTAATAAAATTTTTGCATTTCAGGTATGACAGTAATCCTCCCACAAGCTCTGATAGTGATGAAGATGCTTCTGATAAAGGTTCTGGTGATGATTCAGGGGAGACTGAAAAGAAAGTCAAAGAAAAGAAACCTAAAGAATCCAAACCAAAGAGTGCTAAGACTGTGGTATGTTGAATATTAATATATGACATTATTTTTAACTGTATAAATAATTAAGTTTAACCTGTTATTCAAGTTAAATAAAAACTTTTTTTGACTGCTTATAAAAATAAATTATTTTAACTCTTCTTCTTGTATTTTTTATTTATATGACCTGAATATAATTGTAATCAAAATCTGTTATTAATGTCATAGTTTCTATTTTCTTAACTTCTTTGTGTGATTTTTCTTTATTTTATTAAGCTGCATGGACGTAATAAACATGGCTAGCTTTGCTAGATTTTTTAGATTAGAAACAACAAAAGAAATGTATATGATTTTTTATGACGTAAAAGTTTTATTTAGTAAAAATCATTTGACACAACTGATTTTTACTAAATATTTGGCCGTGTGCAGGTGGAAAATCTGTATGATATTATAGTATTTTGTTAATAAAATATATGAAAATTTTCTTAAATGTCTATTATGTAAATAATTTAAATAAAATAAAATAAAAAATGTTCCAAGTTAGATTCATAACTTGTTCATAAAAGTTATGGGCCACTTCTATTCAAATTTTCAGAAAGTGGTATATATTTATTATCTGCATTTTCCTTTTTATTTTATTGATCACTGTAAATAGTTTTTAGTTATTTTTCCTTTTCTCTCTCTTAATTTTGCTTCTACATGTAAAAAGATTATTGAAGGGAGCTTAACATTTAATTTTTGAGAAGGAAAAAAAAAATATTTTCATAACTAAACCATTGCAGTGATGCCATTCATTTATATTTGCAAATTTTCACTTGTATAAAATGTTAAGGAACAAAATATTAATACTTATTATTAGTTATAGAGTTGGTAGTTTTTATATATTTTGGGAGTAGTGGAAATAGAGAAAAAAGAAAGGGAATTTTTATTATTTGATAATTTTGTTTAATGCTGAAAGAATAATATTTGTCATTTAAATAAGAAATGTGAACCCTTCTCCCATCTTCTGCCATTTAATTGTGGATAAGAGTCACAATTTAATAATTAAGTTTTATTCATTTCTAAACTCTGTTTTTCATTTTTAATATTATTTAACTCACTTTAATTCCAGAAAGAACCAGGCATGAGAAAAAAGAGACAGAAAAAAGAAAAGGATGAAAATAAACCTAAACGTCCTCCATCTGCATACTTCTTGTATCTTGCTGATATGAGAGAAAAAATCAAGCGGGATAATCCTGGAATTAGTATCACAGAAATTACTAAAAAAGCAGGTGAAATGTGGAAGGAAGTTACAGATAAAAGTGTAAGCAAACTTTTATTATTTACATCAAACATCTTTTCCAGAAATTATTCGAGCAGTTTTCAGTGCCCAGTTAAAAAACTGACTGGTTTATTTCGTATAGGTCTTACTTTGAGATTGCTTTTAGTTCTTAACAGTTTTAAACTACATGTTTAGTGCAATGATTATTTTAAATAACTTCATAATTTATTTATGTCAGAATGAGGGCAAAAGAAATTGTTTTTATCCAAAACTGTATGCAAATTTGAAATATATTGTAGAGACATTAGAATTTTTTGGAAGCAAGAGAGATGAAAAATGTGCAACGCCTTCGCTAAGAATCAAACTGCGGACCTCTTAGTTATGCGCTGAGCGTGCAGACCACTACACTATGAAGGTGGGGAAAATACCTTATATACTCCTCCTTTTAAAGGGTGACTGGTCTTTTTTAGAGGACCCAATCACCAAATCCTGGGTGAGGAGAATCATAATCCAACACCCTTTTAGTTTGAGTGCCACTGTAGAGACATTAGGATTTTTTGGAAGCAAGATGGATAAAAAATGTGCAATGCCTTCGCCGGGAATCGAACTGCGGACCTCTCAATTACGTTCTGGGCGTGCAAACCACTACACCACGAAGGCTCGCTAAGCAGGCGTGAAAAGTACCTTATAATATAAACATTTATTAAAAATATATTGCTAAATCGTGAAAATAAGCCTGTTTCAAATTAACTCGTATTATAATACAAATTTCTGTTTTGAAGTGTCTTCTTATTTTGAATGTTGATTTAATTTACATAACCAAATAAACTTACTATTAATTAAATGAAATCTCCAAATTAAACTGCTTAAAAGTACATGTAAATTATTAAAAGTATTTTTTTATATGATTTATTCCTCTTTCCTGTGTGTTTTTAACTGCTATAAAATTAACCTGAAATGCCATCCCCAGTTAATCCGGATATTTTACTATATTTTTCCCTGCTAGTTTGTAAAAGATACATGCATTTAATAATGTCATTCTTAGATACAAATAGAATGAAAATATTATCATCTAGTATTACAAATGCTACGTTCTACTCATTTGTCCCAAATATTACAGGCTTACTCATTACTTTATGAATTTGTTATTATTTATATTAATCTCTCAATTAGCAATGTTCTGTTTTAATTTCAAAAGATAAATTAATGGCTTGTGTACTATGCTAAATGCCAACACCATTGGTGACAAGTAATTTGAGCAAATAATTTAGGTAATCAGTGCTATGATAAACGCAAGAGGACTTCTGAAATAGAAGGATGAAATTGTAAACCTTTTTAATATCAGTAAAACAACAAAATAAAGAGAATGTATTTTGAATCAATTCCAATAATAGTTTTGATTTATAAATGTGTAAATTATGAATATCGTATGTGATAACTATATGAATTGCTGCATATTATATTCACTGATAATTTAATGGTTGTATAGTGTAAATTTTGTGGTTATATGCTTAGAAATGGGAGGAAGCTGCAGCTGCTGCCAAAAAGAAGTACGAGAAGGATATGGCTGAGTATAAAGCAAGTGGTGGAGGGTAAGGATTATTTTGTAATCTGGATATTTTGATTATGTATGTAGTTGACTAATTTTGTTCTAAGAAATCGATGGCTTTATTTAAAAAAAAAAAGAAATTGAAACCATTTTAAAATGTTCATAAAATTGAAAATATTAAACAAACTTTAAAATCATTTTATGTCTGTGGGTTGCATTTCAGGGGAAATTTTCAAAATTCAGGAGATATAATAGAACTTGATTGTTTTATTATATATAATGAAAATTAGAGCTATTTTTACGTTTTCTGTATAATGATGCCTAGCAACATTATTATACTGAAGACAATATTCTTGACTTGAGAAATCGAAACAGTCCTCCCTCTTGTATGCAGTAACCGGTTTTGCAATTTTGAATGGATAAATTCAAAAGATGAGAAAAATTGCTCTAATCCTGTCAAACTTCATTACATAGTTCATGTAAAATTTCAAAAATGACACTTTCTATCAAGCAAGATTTAATATAGTTTAGGAATTATATTTTCATTAGATTTGCTAGTTTCTTCCTAGGAGAAGAAAATCATTTGGATGGAATCAATTTTTTACTTATTTCTTATTAATATTTACATTTTATTCATATATATCACTACTGTAGTACTGAACAATTTTGATACTTTTATCATATATATAGTATATATGTATACATATTTTTTTATACTTGCAACAAGATTTCAGTTTCAAAATGCATAATTTTTATGCATTTTGAAACTGAATTTTAATTGATAGCAGTAATAAAAATAGAAAATTATTATATATATGGAGAAAGAAAACGAGATTTGAATTAAATATTGCTGTCCTCTGTCTTGGAAGAAGACAATCCCTCACCATACCTGTTCTATATCCATTTTGATTTCTTATGTAATAAGAGAATCTGCAGCACCTTATCTGGTAGTAGTTTCAGTAACAGGAAAATATAGATGCTAAAATTATGTAATTAATGTCTATTTTTTAATGATTTGTTGCAGTATGACTTTAACTAGATAATAGTAAAATATGTAAATTCTGCTTCTTGTAACTTTTTATCTGGTTATAACAAAAGTTTTCCACCAAAAAACATTCTTACTAAAGTCTGAAAAAATATGGAAACAGTACCTTTAATGCAATTATTAATCACCACCCAAACCTACAATTTTTCTCCCAATGTTTTGGTAGTTTTTCAAAGCCTTCGGCCCAGGAGCTTGATAGCCACAAATCCAAAAACAAACCTGCCTCATTTCGGACGTTCTTTGCAGAATATTAGGATAGCACCAGAAGATATAGCTGCTAGTGAGAAAAAAGGTAGAAGTCTGAAGGAGCAATGTTGGGGCTATATGGTGGTTGTGGCAAAAGATCCCATTAGAGTCCATACAGAATCCAACTGGTGAATGCAGACATATGTGGTCTTGCATTATCTTGATGGAACATTACCTTTTTGTGCCGGAACTCAGTTTGACGTTTTACCATGATAGCAGCATCACACGGACTAGAATCTTACTCTCGAGGGTTTTACCTTTATCCAGATACTCTTTGTGGATAATACCACGGCAATCTTGCCAGATACAAAGCATGATCTTTTTGTTAGTTACATTGCACATTGTGATGGTGCAAACTGGCTCACTGGGCACAGACCAACCTCTTTTCATCCTGTGTTGTTAAAATAATTCCACTTTTCATCACAAGTGACGATCTGGTTCAGAATTCTGTCTTTATGTTGATATTCGAGCAGATTAGTGCAGGCACAAATACATCTGTCCTTATTTACTTGAGTCAGCTCATGCAGCACCCAGCGATTGAACTTGTATGTCAATGTTATGTGATGCATAACGCAACTAATAGACATGGCACTAAAGTCTTATCTCCTTAGCAAGCTCTCGGGTAGTTGCATTCTTTCTCAAGTTCCTCGCAGGCAATCCTCATCGACATCAGTAGTCCAGCCAAAGCATTCTGCATCTAGTACCTAAAGCTGTACACATGATTTGTTGACATTCTGTAGCTGACTTTTTGCAACAGAACAGGTTCTAATCTCTTAGTATGATAGTTCCATTTCAGACACCTTGTACTTAATGATAATGATATTTTTTGCAAATTTCCAAGCACAGTGTTCTGAAGCAAGTTTCTTTCTTTCAAATTGCAAAAATCGTTTGACGAAATATGATTAAAACATGCCAACGTGAACTGTTTGCGCAGATGATATTTGTGGTGGTGGGAAATTTTCGATAAAACTTAATAGTTTCATATTTAACTGAAAATATATCTATTGGCTGTTTAATCTGCTGTATTTCAAATTTGTATGCATGTATCAAAGAAAAAAAACATCATTTATTGATATGAAATGTTTTCTCTCTCTCATTTTTTTTAATGCGTTCACTGAACATGTATTTGTTGTGGCTTTTTTTTTTTTTTAACATCAGTTAATTACTAACTTTTTTAAGACCATTTTTCCTTCTGTCTTTCTTTAAAATTGGTTAGTGGATAAGATTTTACTAATAGGTCTTCATGAATCCTAATGTTCCAGTATGATCAGATTCATACCTTGATTGCATTAGATGCCCCCTTTTTTTTAAACGTATGTACAAACAGTACTTACGTATTATCACAACCACCTTAGTAGAAATTGCAAAAGCTTCAGAATATGCAACAAGTATTCAGACATGCGCATGACAAATCTTCAGTTTCCACTGTCTCAATTTTCGAATGTCTTCGTTTTATTGTAGAGTTCTAACAGCTTTTATAAAAAAATTTTTATTATTTTTTTGTCTTTAATACTATTTTAAAATTTTTTCTCCTAGCATTTTTCTGTAGTAGAAGAAGGAGCGGTAAAATTTATGTAGGAATACATTATTTTGCCACACAGTCATTAAAGGAACAATGGTTCTAATTCTTTCTCAAAGTGATTGCTATGAAATTACCAGTTGGTCCTTTTCTTCTCTAAAATTCACCAAACTGTGCCAAGCTGGTTTTGATTATACAGTACAAAGTCCATAATCCTGACTCGTCGGGACTTTGGCGATTCCAGATTAGAGGTTTTTCCGGATTATAGATCATTAATTTAAATCTGGTAAGATGGCATGCAGAAATTATACAATTAAAAATATGAAACCGTAATTTATGAAATAAAGAGCAATTATGATCTAAAGGGTATCAAATTTAAAACAAAAAAAAAAAAAAAGCTTAATATTTATTTGTTTACTTTATTAAACATTTCTTTCAACGCACACATGCATAAAGTTTGGGGCTTTGAGGTCCGTATTATGGATCGTTCCGGATAAATGGATGTCCAGATTACAGACTTTGTACTGTATATAAGTATGTAGGATGCACACTTTTCTCACTAAAAAGATCTCTGCATTCTCTTCTAAGGATAAATATCTGACGTTTTCTTTATCCTATATTTACTAATGGCTGTATTGAAACTCATTAAACGTAAGTAATTTTATAGAGGTTAAATTTTCAGCAAAACAAGCTAAACCAGTTTTACTCAGTTCAGACAACTTTTGCGTACTTTAAAGCTATTAACTCATCTTTTTTTTTTTTTTAAATTTTTTCCCTCTTCACATTAATTATGGTGTGTGTGAACTTGATAGTCCTAATTATGAGTTGAAAATTGTCATTTAAATATGATTTGATAATGTGTCTATTTAATGATATGTTATTTTTTAAGTTACTCTAAATAACCTCTAGAGTTTTTTAATAGGGTAAAAAAGGAAAGTTCAAAAGAAAAGACTCCTAAGAAAGATAAAGAAAAGAAACATTCACCAATCAAATCACCAACTAAATCTCCAGGTTCTTTCAAAAGTAAGGAATACATCAGTAGCAGCTCAGAGAGCAGTGATAGTGAAGATAAACCACTAAAAGCCAAAAAGAAAGATTCTGGTTCTTCTTCTGATGAAAAAGTGAGTGCCTATTTTCTTATTCAGTACTTGATGATATGCACAGTGTAAGTCTTATTATATTATCTATATTATCAGTGGTTTGCATTTTACAAAATGTTTCATGAAGATTATTTTATTTAAATTAAGATGGTAATGATAAACACCCATTATTTTTGTAAAACAAAATTACTGTAAAACAAAAGTAATGGGTGTTTATCATTACCATCTTAAGCAGAAGTTTGGCTGACTGGATTTAACGCCTGATGTTGCTAATACTATGCCTGTATTCTTCCATCAGTGAGAAACACAAAAATTGGTGGTATTCTCTATGTGTTCACTTTGAACCCTTTCTGGCACGGTACCTTTTAAAGTTAAAACTTTTACAATAAAAGTGATAGGCAGTCTTATCAGGCCTCAAGGAGTACACAAATAAAATTTTGTAAAGATAGCACTTGCTGTTTAAACTCTGTGGGTGGGCCTGTAACAGACTCACTGAATGAATGGAACTTCGAAAAGAGTGCTGAAGCAAGCAATTGCTGCAAAGCGTGTAATAGAGTAAAACATTTTGCCTACGATAAGAAAATGCTAGATTCTGATTACCGTAGGAGATTTACCCAGGGGTCACAATAGGGAGGCCTCCTACTCTACTCCCTCTCGCCCCCAAAAAAAACTCTTGGTTATATAATGATTACACACGTATAAATGAAAAAGGGTAGCTTAATTATATGATGTTTACTTTATTTACATTTTCATCCCACCCCACCCCAGTGGTTGATACATTTTAAACAAGTGACGCCACCCTCGAAAAAGCACAACCCAACATTGCATGTTTTGCACATGTACCGAAATCTCCATCAGATTCACTATATGAAGGCAATTCACTTACCACTTTCAGTGCTTCAGAAACAGTCAGCCCTCTTTGATACATTTGCAAAATAATTAAAAATCAGAAAAAAATAAACTAATATTATATCTATAATTAAGAAAAATTTAAACTATAAAATAAAATTAAATTAATTTCTACAACTCAAAACTATCAAAAAAAGAGAGCTGCTATACTGAAAAATCAAAGAGCAAAAACTGATAAAATTACCCCTGACTTTCATAAAAATACCCCAACCATTTCTTAATTGATAATAAAACATCTCCTTTAAAAAAAAAAAAAAAAGGAAATGAAACAAAGATACAGTTGTTGGTCTGGTCCTGGTGTTTCAGTTATCCCATTCTGGGCACACCAGATATTCACCATTCGATTTTAGGCAAGATTTCAGAGTAAAAATTTTAATTTAATAGAGGCTAGAGAGATCAGCATACAGCCAAGAAAATAACATAGAAATATCTTTTAACCAATTCTTCTTATATCCTTAAAAAAAAAAAAAAAAAAAAAAAAAGTACAAGATTTCTTTGAAAAACGAGCGTCTTTTAAAACTAAACATGGCTAAAAGGTGAGGACTGGTTTGTGTTGTGCTGCCATCGAATATAAATAAAGTTTAATCATTGTCATTTTTTAGCAGTAATTCGTACCATTATCCTTCAGGTCTTTACAGGTCTGCATACAAACCTTGATCTTCACTAGCACACAAATAGTTGCTAGTATATCATTAGCAGCTGTATCCAAAGGGTTTCTACCGACTTAGGATTATATTGAAAATGTGCTTTATTTTCCAAAAGTAGCTACATTTTGGCCATATAAAATTAACTAAGTTTCAGTTAATTATGATTATTATAATTACAACTATTCAGTGACTAATTAAAAAATATATCCACTTACATGGACAGATCACAGTAACTGGAGATTTTTTTAATGAATATCTAAAAAAAGGGGCTACTAAAAGTTACATAAAGTAGTGCAAGAGAAATTAATTAATGATGCAAAATCTCAGTAGTAACTATTCATCTTTATTTATATTTAATAAGGTGCATTTCATAGTTTAATTTTGATTTTTACTTATTTATTTATTTAGATGGAAATAGATGAAGGTTCTGGATCTGAGGAAAAATCTAATGATGATGTATCAGATTGAAGATAAAATTTTTCTTTGTAAATAATAAACTTTTTTATTTTATACTTGTATTCATAAACAAACATTCACTGTGTCTTACCGTTATGTTTATGGCCTTTGTGTTATGAATATAAAAATAAAAATTTTAGTTCCCAAATATATTTATTGTATGTTTTACACTTTGGCACAAAGCAGCTGTGAATGTAAGGGTTAAAAACAGCACATTCTTTTGTTAATTAGAGTATTTCTTAGAAAAATGAAAAATTTTGCACCCACAAGAAAAAAAAAAAAAAGGCTGTCTTAATTTGGAACATTTTAGATACTGTAGATATTTAAAAATGCCATTCATGGCAAGACGATTTTTCACCTTAATGTTCCTTAGAAAAATAACCCTTTGCAAGGAGATAGCCTTTATATGTTTTAACTTTTGCTTTTAGAAATATAGATAACCTCACTCTAACATGGTCTGTATGTTCATGAAAAATTTCACATTATGTGAATTCATGCTACACATACCAAAAAATTAGTACAAAAATCAATGTTAAGTTCCAAAAGTTTTTGTTTGTGAGTTCCTGTATGCACACACACTATTTATATTTTGTGTTTTGTAAGTCTACTGAAACAATAGGTGGTTAACTCTTTCACATCAAGAGAGAACCAAATCATTTTTTCTCAAACATCGAAAATGCCAGTGTATACGAATTTCGTTGAAATGCTTTTCTTACCCCCATGACAAATTGAATACTACAGCGCTAACAATAACCTACTTAAGTAAGGCGACAACTTCTTTCTTGGACGCTTTCACCCTGTGTGAGATTCCCCTTTGGGATAGGATTGCAACTTCGGGCATCAATAGCTAAACATTGACAATAGACAAAGGAAAAAGAAAGTGCATTAAAATAAGAGAACTACTTTTAGTCACTTGAAAAGAATGATTGACATGTCATTCAACAACTCCTGAAAGCAATAAATAATGCAATAACGTGATAGGGAAAAGCACTATGTGGGAAATCATTCGGGTGACCTGTGACTGTCTGAATGCTCGGGCGTTTGAGGCGACGTCAATGTGAAAAAGTTAAAAATATTAGGATTTTATGTTTTCTTTATTGTGACTTCTTAATTGCAATTAACCGTCCAAGAGTTATCAGCATAAAATTCTGCATAGAAGGTTGGTGTTACAGTTTATTACACACAAAAATTTCTGCCAACTCTTGACAGATCTGATTGTGGGTTGGATGTGTACTGAAAGAAAAAGAGTCAGAGTACAAAGTGAGATGATTTTTTGTGATTATAATTAGTACTTATAATTGCAAGAAAATATTACTTACGAATGATATTTGGAGGAACTTTAAGGTTTCAGGGCAAAACTTGTAATATGAAATATCCTCATCTTATGCTTCTGTAACAGAATCTTGACTTCTGTGCTGTATTTACTTATTTCTGTCATTTGTATTTCTGAAGAATCTTTTTGAATTTTGTTGTACACTCACTTACATTTTGTTTCTTTTGTTGGAAGGATCTTCATTTAGGATTCACTGTATGATCAAAAAGTATCTGTACGCTCTTCATAATAGTGAATTCTACCAATCAGGTAGAGCTTCTAGCTGCCAGATAAAAGAAAGCAGACAAGTTCACATTTATTTCAAAGCTAGAAAGGTACAATGGGCAGAAATAATTTTGAATGCCTGAAGGTAATTGGTTGTCACCACTGTGGAAAGTCTGTGTTTGGAAAATTTTTGCTGTGTTAGGTGTGTCCCATTTTACTGTGCATATCATTAAATGGAAACTTGAAGGAGCTACAGCTGTGGAACAAAGATCTGGATAGGTACAGAGAGTTGTGAAAGTCAATTGAATGGAATCAACAGAAAAATTCATCAGGAATGCCTAGGAGCAATGTCAGCACATTGACAGTTCATCACGAAATTCGATCTCTTGTTTTTCAGAGCAGAGCTGAGGCGTATAAACCAAACATTATTACTACTAATGTAAAGCAACATTGGAGTCTTGAACAATGTTGTGTCATGCTATGGAATGATGAATCAAAGTATACTGTCTGGCAATCCGAAGGTAGAGTTTGGGGTTAGAGATCGGTGAATGCTTTATCTGACTGTATTATGCTGCAAGTGAAATTTGGAAGTGGAAGTATAATAGTTTGGAGCTGTTTTTCTTGGTTTAACCTGGTTCCTTCCCAGGAACTCTCAAGACAGAAGCCTATCTGGACAATTCCATGCTATCTATAACATGGCAACAGTTCAGGGAGGATCTGTTCTTGAGAATGGCATACAGTTCCTTCTGAAATGTTTCAAAAATTATTAGACAGCCTATCCCAGAAAGTAGCAGCTGTTATTGCAAGGAAAAGTGGCCCAACCTCACATTAATTTTGCACATATCAGCGGAAGAAACAAAACATACAGGTGTCCAGATACTTTTGATCGTATAATGTAAACTACAGTGTTAAAAAATTATCAGAAATTATTCTGTGAAAGACATTCCGTTTTAAGTAATTCTCTAGAACTGTAGTGCACTTATGTCAATGTCTCCCTCTGAAATCCTCAAATATATTAGTCATTTTTACAAAACCCCTTCGGGATTTTCTTTTATTGCATCAATCGACTTTAAATAGTGACTGTGAAGTTTAACCATGGAAATAAGAAAAAACCACATGGTGTCATATCGTATGAATATAGAGTTTGTGAAGTAATAAAAAAATTTAAAAAAAAAAAAACCGTTGTGAGCATGTGTGTTTTTGTGGTGCAAAATCCATGAGTTATGTTGGGAAAATTCATGATACACAACACCCTCCAGTAAGCAGAGAAAACAGTCTATGTTACCATGATTCTTTCATTGATTTTGACTTGGCTTTCCTTTATCAGTCAAGAACCATTTACTGGAATGTGGTCTGTCTTCAACCCATTCTCTACTTTTCATAAATACTATTAACTCTAAAAAAACTTCTCATTTTGACAAAGTGTTAAAGGCTTTTTGTAACAAAATTTCGATTGTTAAAACAAAGTTCAGTACTTGTCCTTTGCTGCATTATATTTTGGGAAATTGCCAAAAGCAAAAGGTTTTGTTAATAACATTTATTTTCAGTCATATGAAATATGGATTGCTAGCACACTTCATATGATCCACTTGTTTAAGAAGCCATAACTTCTGAAAATATTTTGCAAGTGATATCTTGCATGAACATATTTTAAATGGCTTGGCATTCTTGATACTTTATCACAGCACTGTAGCTTCAGTTGTTTTAGCTAATATGTGGGGGGTACAATTAGTTAACTTTTTTCTGGTGATTTTAATGTTGTTGAGATCTCAGCAGCTTTTCTGCGATATGCAATCACTGCAGTTTCCTTGGTTATTGATTAAACTGTATTAGAATAAAACACTCATGTTCAGTAGAAATGCTGTATTACTTCAGGACTTTTCCCAATTCTTGAACCATGATAAAGATATGCTACATTATACAGAGGCTGCGTGTATATTTTCTCATATATGACTTTTAATATGTATATGGGAAAATAATTTTTTTAACATTTTTTATTTGGGCAAGTAAGAAATTTTTTACTAGATTTGGTGTTGGTGTATTTAATTATGGCAAAGCACACTAGGGCTATCTGCCTAAGGGGAGGAATGCCTTCGTGGAGGACTTTCTAAGGGAAACTGGCTCATATACATGTTACACATGGGGAAAACACCCATGCAGCCAGCCCGTTCGCGGGATTCAAACCTTGGACCGAACTACCAGTGATCAGAGACTTTACCGCTCAGCCGCTGGCGAGCCCCTTACTAGATTTGGATAGTAGAATTTTAGATAAAAGTTGTATTACCTCTCCGTAAACAAAAATCTATATTAATCTATTTTTAAAATAATTTGTCATTAAAGTTTCATACATTATCAAAGAAATATTTAACTCACATTTTTCCTCTGTAATAGCATAATGAAAACTAATCTATATATGAATAAAAGAAAGTTTGTAAATTTTCACACACAGAACATTTTTCAAAACTATCAGTAGGCTTTAAAAAACAAACCGTAATAATTGTATTTAAAAATTTTTAGGATGCCTAAAGACATTATAAGGTATTTTCTCTCTCCTTTTTGCATGCCTTTGTGGTGTAATGGTAGCACACTTGGCGCATATTAGAGAGGTCCAAGTTAAAGTTCTCTCGAGGACATTGCTCATTTTTCACGTCTCCAGCGTCAAAATAACCAAATGACTCTATACAACATCATATAAATGTGTACTCTTTTGCTATACATATTTGCTCCTATGCTGGATATGCTTTAAATCTGTGCACCCAAGTTCTTCACATTTTGAATCCAGGAAGCAAATATAAATAAATTTCATACTGTAAGCAGGAAAAGACCACTGTTAAGCAAACTTCACTTCAGTAAGATGACACGTCATATGAGAAAATCTGTACTAAATTGATCCAGCATTAGTATGAAAATTCAGTGTACGATTTGTGACTAGAACAATTATAAAGCACTGTACAATTTGCCAGTTTAATGGCTCATCTGTGCTCAATTATTACACCTCTTATTTAATAAAAATCATAAATTCTATCTTATAATTATTCTCTATTTCCTAAATTAGACTTTGTAGGTACAAAAAAAAAAAAAAATGTTTCAAGCAAATAGTATTTATATTATTGCTTCTAAATCACAAATTAATGGGATAGAACAGATATTTTACATTTGTTTTGAAATAAATTGTGAGCTATTATGCACACTCAGTCATCTCCCTACATAAGTATTCCTGGTATGCGAGAGCCTGTTCAAAAATGTTGTCGACTTTTGTTTCGTAAAAGCTCACCAGTAAATATGCAGTCAATAGTGTATAGCACTTATAATTTGAGCTGGCTTGGGTTCGATTCCAGGCAAATGGGCTGGCTGTATGGTTTTCGACATATGTAATGTAAATATGAGCCAGCTTTCCTCAGAAATTCCTCCATGAAGTCACTCTTTCTAGGTACATAGCCATCATGGCTTTGCCATATTCAAATAACCCAAACTTGTTTCATAATTATTAGTTATTTGTGAAACTATACAGCTCTCAATTCTTTTGCACCATCAGAGAATTTGATTTTCATAATATTCATGTTTATGTCATTTCAAACTAAAATTACTATAGTTATGAGCATGCTTTTACAAGATTTCTTATATTGACCTAATTTTTTAAGAATAGTTTCCTTCAGTTCAGTTCAACTTTGTTTTAATATCAGTGGACCAAAATATGTAATTTTTGTGCACCTCATATTTGTTGTGTCAGTCTATCAATATGGTGACTTATCAAATTTTCAAACCTCTGTTTTGAAAATTTAGAAAGTTGAAGATTTTTTACAATTCTGAATTGCCTATCAATAGAATATTAGCAATTTTGTTATTATTTCTAGATGACTAGATCCAAGACTTTTTTAGAAAAGCAGAGTTCAAATAAAAATGTTAAAAATTTGAAATCTTAATTTTTTTTCCTGTTCACTATATCTACAAGATTTAATTTTCATTTAGAAATATCTAATGCTGATCTTAAACAAATAAGTTTTGTTAGTTTTTAATAAGCATCGTCCAGATTTTAATGTCGGATATATAGCAAAAGATTTCATAAGTCATTAAACTTGATACAGCATACAATGGAAAATTAAATAGTACACAGCTGAATAATTTCTAACTGTCATTATAGGTGCAGCAGGTGTATTTAAGCAGGTCCTTTAAGCAGGTGTATTGTTTTCAGTCAGTGAACAATACACCTGCTTAAAGGAATAGCATGGAAATTCTTGTATTTAGACTCTACAAAAAAACACTGTTCCACTGCCAATAACATACCATATTGCATTGGTATGCAAAATATCAGGATGAGATGGTTTTTCAAATGAAAAGTCGTGCAGAAAGTGTTCCACATTGGCTCAAATCATATCACAAGATCTCCAAGATGTAAAAATTATGGGACAAGAGAGCAATTATCCAAACAAGAAATCAAAAAGATAAAAAGGCCAGTGTACAACTGGAGAGATGGAAAAGCCTATGTTACAGCACTTTACAAGAAAAATCCAGTCTTCAGAAGAGAATATGATCACCGCTGACAGCGATACAAGAATTAGTTATCTGTATTGAGGACAAGGTTGCCAAGAATCAGCTCACTTCCCATTCCTTTTGTAGTCTTAATTTCAACAGAAGCACAGCTGACAGTTGGTCACGTGTTGCCAACCATCTCCCAAGAAGGTCCCACACATGTTCTATGGATTTAGGTCTAGAGACCTTGTAGGTCAATGCATGCATTGAATATCTTCACTTTCCAAGAGCTCTGCAACAGTTACTGTATGATGAGTTGTAGTGTTGTCATCCATATAAAGAGGAAATCTGGATATGCACTACCTATAAACAAGCATACCAGCAACTGAACCTTAAGAAGATATGGAGGTCAAATACAGCAACCAAGCACAATACTACTCCAAAATGTTCCCTTTCAATGGTATTGGAGGGGTGATTGTATATTCTCCTCTCTCTAGATGTATGTCTAAAATTGTTCATTAAACTTATCGGATCTTATCTGCATACAGCACTTGACTCCACTTCTGCTGTATCCTTGGCATAACAGTAACTGGTGTCTGGTGAGCAGGTGTTAATAGCAATATAGACCATGTCTGTGCAGCCACCTGGCTATAGTAAAGCATGATATTGATAGTCTGTTACATGTGCTTTGCAATAACTTTCACTGTCTCTTCTTGCCAATAGAACAATATGCTGGTCCTCTACTGCCATTGTTGCTTGTGGATGACCACTGCTGAATGCTCAAACAGCTGTTCCTGTCATCTGAAATTTTGTCTCCAGGCTTGTGAAATGATGCTATAAGAGATTTCTTACCCTTCCACCACATTTGTCATGCTGCAACCTTCTTCCAACTACCTAATGATGCAGCCTCAAGTAAAGTCATCCAGATCAGCGGTTATCAAACCTTAGAACTTCATGGACTACTACATATATAATTTTATATTTGACGAGCCACTAATATGAATTAAAAGAAAAAGGTAAATACATTTATAGAATAATAACCAGCAAACTACACATATTTCGTTCACATTGAAAAATTGCATATGAAAATTACAAAAATCTTACCTTCTTATACAGAAAGCTTCACATTTCTATATCATTGAAAAGGAACTTCATGAAAAGAAAACAAACTGGCAAATGCAAAGCAATATCCATAAACTGGCAGTGTTATGCTGCCAATTTTTAATTTTTATAAACATAATAATCATCACTTACTCAGCAAAAGCACCATCGATCAACAAAAAAATAGAAACTTTCAGTGATGCAATTATGAACAAGAATTCAGATGGTTCTCATAAAAATCCATCAAGCCTATTAACACAGATAAAAACTGTTATTAATGACCAAATAGCATATGTTTGTAATTCCAAAGGAAAAGAATTCCAGTGTGCACTATTATTGATAACAGCAGCATATCCAAGGATGCCAACACTGACTTTCAAATGTCGCTAGATACACCTTAAAAAAATGCTAAATTTAGAAGGAATTTTGCTAAAAGTAGTAGCTAAAATTAAAAAAAGTATAATCTATATTCCATAATAGATTTTGTTACTTGTCATTTTTTAAACTGAATCTTCATAAAAATATAAGTAATGTCTCAATTTTTCTGTGGATCATCCAAAAGTTTTCACGAACCAACCAGTTGGCGACCGCTGATCCAGATGATGTCTCCTAGATAGCCCTGTGGGCCATATCATACAATAGTAACAACATTAATAGCTTTCACTGAATTTCTGAGTATGCATAAGCTATGTGCTTTATATCCTTGAAACTCCTCTCTCTAAGTTATGTACTATACATGCACTTCTGTATTCAGTCCCAAGTCCATCTCCTGATTGATCTTCTGGTCCATTCTGTTACCTTGTTCCTCTTTAATGCTAATTTTTTCATCTCTTCCTTAACTTTTGCACACCAGTTGGTTAATGTTTCATGCATTACAATTAAAAAATGTAACTACATAGAGTTTAAGGCCCATTTTATATTCAACAACTTATATAATTGTCTTATCTGCATTTTATATTGCAGAACAAGTTTTATTGTACATAGTGTAAAACTAGATTTACTTACAAAGCTAATTTAAATTTTCACTGTGGCAAGTTGTTAAAAAGTATTCAGATATATAAATGTATTTGTAAAATTCATATTGACTCAATAGTGCAAGAAACAACACTCATAATTAATACTTCATATTTATTTCTCCTGTGAACAGATATCTCAAAATAATGTAACAATGGAAAAAAATATAACATTTATATATTTCCACTTAATCAGACATTAAGATTGGACACAGAATTCTAAATATATAAATGTCTTCAACTTAGTAATAGAATCTGTTCTATATAAGATCTTAAGAAGCTGGAAGTTAAACATCATTGCTCAAATTATAAGCATTTTTGACACTTCAGGGATAAAAGCTTATGCGTTTTTCATAATAGGAATAACTGGATAATGACTGGATGTTTTAATAGCATAATTTACATAGCACCGTAATTCAAATGAAATTTAGATATTTCATCCCTGAAGAGACAAAAGAATTTAGTCCAACAACTATTGTAATTATATGTTATGCTGTACATGTTTACTACTTTAAAAGAGGAGGCACATCTAAGGAAAAATTTGTTAAATGATTCACAATCCAAAAATGGGCTTTAAACATTTAATTACTTCTGAGCAAAAATGATATCAACATGTTTCAACAAAAAGACAATAGGAAATCATAAATGTCCAGTTTAAATATACATAATTTTGATTCTTTTCATTCAATGGAAACAAGAAACTGACTTAATAGGCATGATCTTTAATGAATAAGGTTTCTGCAGCTGCGGCTCCACTAACACCACCTCCATATTTTCCAAGAGAAGCTTCACTGTTGGCCTATATATTTTTAGCAAATAAAGAAACAGAAGAAAGCACATGTGATCAGAGAAAAAAGGAAAATGAAAATTAAAGATTGGGTTAAGATAATTAAAGATTGCAAGGAAAACAAAAACATAAATTGGCACTTGAGCAGCATACGAAATAATGCTTAGCAACTGCATGCATACAATTTCACAGTATCAACACAAAAGAGGGTATTTTTTACACTCAAACATGCAAACAGTAAAGGCACAATGTCAGTAACAACACATATACATATACATATATATATATATATATATATATTTAACCAAAAGCATGCAAAAGGGGAAAGTTAGTAGGAATGTGTTGGCACAAAGTTGGATGATTTAGAGGCAAGGCTTTCGATTGATCCCGGTACGTATTTGCCCTGGCATGCAAGTCCATTTGCCTAGAAGGTAAAGTTTGGATTAGAAGCACTAATCTACAAGGGAAAAAATAATGCAGCTTAGTATCAAGATATCCTTGATAAAATCTGAAATAAAGTTCATAGGATTTGCTTTTAAGCAAAAGGAACTCAAAGAACAAACTTTCTCCTGCCCAAAATAACAGTTCAAACATTATGAATGTTACAACTTGATCCAAATTCCATGATATGAAAATAGCTCATATTTTATTCATATTTATTAAGGCTACATATTTAGTTATATGTAACTTTAACACAAATTAAAGCTCAATATACAAAAACAATACTAAACAAAGTACTTAAATACAAATTAAAGTTCATATTTATTAAAGTTACAATTCTAGCTTATATGTATTAACACATTTCATAATACTTTTATAGCATGATGCAGGTATTCAGCAAATGGAATCTTTTTAAAATTATAAATACACTGAAAGTTTTGTTCCAACTAAGTGTAGTCTGCATAATGATCAACAGAATTTAATATTTAGGTATTCCTGAAATATTTTTAAAATGTTCCTCATCCAGAAAACAGTTAAAAAATAATCCTATGTCAATAGATACTTTTTTTAAATTTGTTTTAATAAAAGAAAACTTGTTAAACAGGGTTAAAGTCCTGAACTTAAATGGTATTTGTACATTTATTTTAGCATACTGCAATCCTTACATTCATACAAATAAATTTAGATCTGCATTAGCAATCTTAATTCTGCATAATAAGGTTGTGACAGATTTGGTTTGTATTTGCGCACTTAAAGCTTACTGCAAGAAAGCTTACATTTAATGTCAAAAAAATTTTTTTTCTAAGTGAAATCTGCAATGTTGGATTTTTTGTTGTTGGAAAAAGATTGCTATAAAGTAGAAGTATTTTCTTCAGCAATTTGTGTGCTTTTGTAAGATAATTTATATTAAAAATTGTATAATGGTTATGATTTACTTTATTACTTTACTTGCCAATTAGTAATACATTTATAAACCAATAAAAACTATGGACCTCTGAATTTTCTACAAAGATTTTAGGACAAAAATGGAATTCTTCCCTTAAATACATTTTTTTTAATTCTTAAAGTATGTAGTTTAAAATTACCAATTAGTAACTTATTTTAAATTTGATAAACTATAAATAGTGGACTAAATAAAATATCTAAGGTAAATTTTTTTCCTTTGCTAATAATGAAAACTTAATTGTCAAATTTTCATATTCTGAAGTTTGAATAAAGGAGTTAATATAAAAGAAATTTTTTGTACTTTACTGTTAAGAAAGTATAAATCATATAAACAAATGCTGAACTGGGTCAATATGAAAATTCATACTTACATAAATGATACAGTTGTTTCTTTTACTTATGTGTGTGCAAGGATAAATGATTCAGAGCAGAATATAGTACATGCAGCAACTATACTAAAAGCATAAGAATTAAGTCAATATTCACCTTTGCCCTCTTAAGGAATTCGTCTTGTCCAGCTTTGATGTTTTCAGTTTTTCCAGACCATGCTTTCAATGCACTGGCTTGCAAGGCTCGGCCATAGCTGAAAGTTAAAGCCCAAGGTTTCTTGCCAGAGTATTTGTTCAAAGCATCCAAATTAACAGATGCTTCCTCTTCAGACTGTCCACCAGATAAGAAAGTAATTCCTGTAAAAATATAGTCAATATTATTTAAACATATACATTCAGTGGCTATCTAAATTAATACAGCGGTAACTTTGTACAGTCAAAAGTCGTTAATCCGGACTCGTCGGGACTTCGGCGATTCCGGATTATCGATTTTTCCGGATTATAGATCATCAGTTTAAATATCGTAAGATGGCATGCAGAAATTCTAAAATTAAAAATATGAAACCGTAATTTATGAAATAAAGAACAAGTATGATCTAAAGGGTATCAAAATTTGCAAAAAGAAAAAGCTTAATATTTATTTGTTTACTTTATTAAACATTTCTTTCAATGTAAGTTGTTTAAGTTTTGCTTCGTTTCATGTGATAATACTTTCTCTTAATTCTATTAAACAGACATAATTTCTTGTTCAGTTACAAATTTTCCGCTGTTCAAGTCCTATAATTGCTGTGTCGAGAACACCACTAATTTTGTCAATCGAAATTTTTTCGTTTTCACTAACCTCTGTCACTTCTTCGCTATCGGAAGCGAATTTAATGATGAGGAACTTGTTTTAAATCATATCAAAGACGGAGCACATCAAGATGAAATACTAATTTGGTAAGGAATTATAAGCCAAATAAAATAAAAACATCTGCCCTGAAGATAAGGATAATGCTGATAGATCAACTTCCAATTCATTACGCGCCCGCTGCGCCGTTCACCCCGCCGAGCAGCGTGAAATTGATAAACAGATTTCGGATTTCAAAACATACTTTCGCTTTAAGATCCTTTACATATTAACAATATATATCGGAAATTCTATTTGATATAATCGAAAGTTTAAGCTTACTTTTTAAAATTGCTCTTACAGTCTGCAAAATTAATAAGCCGGATCCAATTCGAAAATTAAGGAAAATGCAATCATCAACATTAACTGAAATAGATAATTAGATAATTTTAGCTTATACGTCCATGATACATAAAACGCGCACGCGAAAACGTATTCTGCACTTGCGCACACTCACATGCGCAGTCGTAAAAGATCTTACGCGCACGCGTAAACGCCTATGCGCATGTGTCAACGCGGCGCATGCGCAGAAAGTTTTTAGTTTTGAGGTCCGGATTATAGATCATTCCGAATTATGGGTGTCCGAATTAACGACTTTTGACTGTACAAGTCATCAATCCGTTCCAGTTTTTTGGACTTGTACCAAACAAACTTTTCCAATATGAAATAAAAAGGAAAATAATATGTTTCTACAGAAAAAATCTAATATTTATGTATTAATGCAAACACATTAGTAGAAGTTGAAAATTTTTCAGAATGTGCCAAACTCCCAGCCAAGCTCATAACAGTCGTCCTTCAGTCAAGCAATGCTGCCATTTTCATATGCATTCTTTTTGTTGCTCCAAATTACAACAGTTATTATATACAAATCATGTTTTTTTTAATTTGGCTCTTAAACTTAGTTTTAAACTATAAGCTTGTAGAATTTGCCAGCAATGGAAAAAATTGCAGTAAATTTTTTACAGGATTTTTACAGGATTTTTTACATTCTTATGTAAAAAGAGATCACTATACTTCAGGAGAAGAATAACAAAAAAAAAATTACGGAAAGCTTTGAAGAAGATTATAAGTGCTTTTTAATGTATCCCGTAATCCTTATTTAATAATTCAAATTTGTATTTCAAATTACTAAAGATATGTTTTCCTTTTAATATGTCAATAATCTTTACCAACTTATGATAAATATCAATAGTTTGGGAATATTTCTTTAAAAAAAGGCATGAAAACCACCAACTTGCACCCAATATGAAATTTAACTTTCATCTGTTAAAAAAAAAGGAAAAAAAAAAATATTGCAAAACTGCACCGAGATGATCACATCAAAACATAAGTACCAAAAAGCCTATTTATAACACCATTTAATACTAAAATACAAATGCAAAGGTGAAATATACACTCTAAATTAAAGAAAATTTACCAAATTTTTTTATCTCTTTTCTGTGTTATCTGCTAAGTCTCTTATTTAGACCTGGTTAAGGATCTTCAGTGTGACCATTATTAAAAATCTATCCAAAGAATATGGCTCCGGCCTTTCTCTCACGATGTTTCAGAAATACGACTTTGTTTGGTCATTCCATGCAATTAAGCTTCATTGGCATGGTACTTTTCGGCAAAGTTTTTCACATCCACTTATTTAGTACCAGAGGCTGTCAAACATTTGTTATTGCATTTTTGTGCAAAATTGTTTATAGCCATCATCTCAATAGAAATAAAGGTACTTACGTATTAATGCCACCGCAGCTGCAGATTTGGCGGTTTTTAACTACTGCCAATCTACACCTAAAATTTTTGCAACAAATCATAAATTAAAACTACTTATTTAAAATCAAAACACTTTATTTAAAATCAAAGTAGTCAATCTGATTTCTGTGGAAATGGGTCAATTAGAGTTTGATAATCATCAAATTTCAGAAGCTTGCATTTGAAATATCTACTTTTCTTACAGCTTTGCAAGTTTTATTCTTTAGTAGTAAATATCTTAAAAGGTGGTATATCTTGTGATTATTTAACCTTCTCATAAGACTTTTTGTCCTACTTTTATTATTAACTTTAATACAATATTTTTTTCTTCAGTAGTCTAGATGTAATATTAGTAAATGGGATTTCATGACAATAAATTAAACAAATCCAACAACTAAATTCTGTGCAATAAAATATTGGATTAATTTCTAAAAATTTTAATTTTTATAAGATGCATATCTACCTGGGACAGCAGCAGGTACAGTCCTCTGCAATGCAGTAACAGTAGCCTTGGCTATGTCCTGAGGAGTGTACTTCTTGGGGCAACTTTGTCCTGGAGTCACCATGTTCGGTTTCAGCAAAGTTCCTTCCAAGTAGACATGATGGTCACTAAGAGCTTTGTAAACAGCAGCTAATACTTTTTCAGTCACCTTCTGACAACGCTCCAAATCATGATCTCCATCAGGTAAAATCTCTGGTTCAACAATAGGTACAATTCCAGCCTGATTTTTTAAAAAAAAGTTTAAAATTCAGTGAATATTGTTTCAATTATTTTTAGAAAATATTAGATATTTAATAAATACTGTTTTTAATTATTATCAAATAACGTAACATGATAAATTGTAAAATTTTTTACTATTCTTATAAAACACAAAAAATTTCTAGTAACATTTTTAACTCATTGAAGTTGTGAAAAGATTTACGCAAATATTAAAGAAGTTACCAATTAGAACTTAGAACAAAGTAAGCATTATATTTTATTTTTCAAGCACTCATGTCTTATTAAGAATTTGAAAACTAACCTTTTGGCACTCAGTTGCATATCTGGCAAGGACATTGGCATTTTCTAGAATTGCCAAGGGAGAAGGTGTGTTGTTCCTAATTTTCAGTACACATCTCCATTTGGCAAATCTGCATCCCAATTTATGATACTCCTGGCATCTAGTAGCCAAATCATCAAGACCTGAAAAATAATTGACACTATTTTATTTAAAGTTCTTGGAATTTAAATTTGTGAATTATTATATGAAATACACTATGTAATATACAAATTCAATATAGTATTAGGTGTTATCTGAATATATAGCAACTGAGTTCTTATTTTAAATGTCAAACTTTAGATTTTACAACTAAGAAAATAAATACAGATAGTTAAATACCAGGCAATTTGAAGTAAAAATGCTTTTGAATATAATTTAATTTTATGATAAAGAAATTTAACAAATATCCAGCTTCATATTCCATCAATAACTTGCAGTTTTTACATAAAACAAAGATTATTTTAAAATAAATATATCTAAGTTATTATATACTTTTTATAAGTTGTGTAACATTGCATGTGCAATAATCTGAAGAAAATTATATCAGTAGCAGAGAATATGCTCAAAATTATATTTTAACTTTTAAATGTTTTAAACTACAAATGAATTTTATAATAATCTGATTTCCGATGGTTTTTTTTATTTTAAAAAATGTTTCTATGTAATTCTTGTTATATAATCATGCATGGATAATTAAAACCATAGATGCTGAATCACCTGCTATGAAAATAGTTGCTGATTCAACATATGTATTTCTAATTATCCATAATTTATAGCAGCATAATTTATTCAGAAATGTATGGACGGATGTATGTGTGCATACATATATGTTCGTACATGCATACATACATTTGTGAATCCAGGCCCAATAAACAGAGAAGTACCACATTTTGAAACAAATGTATTTCACTGAAAATTATATAGTATTAGTTAAACTTTTAAATATTCAGAACCATTCTTAATATCATTATTTTTAATACCGAAACCAAAACAAAATTTAAGATTTTATATTAATTTAAAATTAATTATCAGATTTTTATATTTGAGAATCAAAATGCCTGAAATAAAATAAATTACAAGAAAAACTAAAATTCCTTTTGAATGGATTAAATTAGAGTCACAAATATTATAAAATAAATTTATTACAAGTATAACAGAAAAGTTTTCTAATGCCAACTAATTTTAAAGCTACATGAATACATAAAGAAATGATGAAAGTTTACAATTGGGTGCCCCTTGTTTTTGGAGATTCTTTTTTGACGTCAAGATTGGTGCCAGGAAGGCACAATTTCAAGATGGCCGTGACACAAAACCAAAATAAAAAGTCAAAGAATTCACAAACTCTGTGTCCATGTACACATCGATCTGTTTTCACTTAAAAAAACATCCCAGAATTGCACGAACTAGGCATTGCACACTGCCTTAAATTTGTCCATGTACACATCAACCTATTTTCATTTTAAAAAAATCAGGAAGCTAAAAAAAAGTTAAAACTATTATGGTAACCAGAAATGAGGTTTCATCACCAAACATTTTTTTTAATTTATCGCTAATCGAAGGGGCACCCAATTCTACACTAGATCGAAAGAGATAGAGTATAATAAATCAAATATGATTTTAAAATTTATTATTAATGCTCAGGAATTAAAATGGCTTATTTGTTATATAACAAGGTTCTAATATATAAATCAATAATATGGTATTTATACTGCAAAATTCAATATCTGATATAAAATATATTTTATAGTTATTTCACAGACTAACTACTATATTCAAGTAGTCTTGAATTCTGAAATAAATAGTAAATATTTTTATAATAACAAAGGTAAAATTTTAAATGAATGTTCATCAATACTGAATTATAGACTTCAAGATTGAGGAATAATTTAATTTAAATGTATGAGGGAAAATTTCATGTAATAATTTTTTTACATACCTTGTGTGGTTGATTCTTCCTCAGTGCCCATAAGGTTTACAACGCCTTTATCAACTTTAATTCCAGGAATAATTCCACGATTCTGGAGCAGAGTTACAAAATTTGTGCCATCATCAGCCTTTTGAAATAAGGTTTCATGGAAAAGAATGACTCCACTGATATAATTATCCATTGATTTATCAGAAGTAAACAACAGTTGTCTATATATTCTCCTATTTTCTTCAGAATTTTCCACTCCAATGTTAGCAAGCCTTTTGCCCATAGTTGCTAGAATTATATATAAGTTATCATTGAAATTAAAATAAAAATAGTATTACAGTTATCAGATACAAATTCCATTTTAAGTTTTTATGCATATGCAACCTCCAGAAATTTTAAAAACATTAGGTATAAAAAAACTGCCAGCATAAAATATATTTGCATAAAAAATGCATTGCAAAGCATTAACTAGCAAATAAGAAAAAACAACTCTGCTTCACCAAAGAGGGGGAAATTACACCTGGCTCTCCCAAAATAACAATTTCATTAAATCAAGTTAGATAATTTTAATTGCTGCCCAAAAAAATCACCTACTTAATAACAGATAGATTTTTTTTTCCCCTAAATACTGGTCATGAACTTTAGTTAGAAAACAATCAAAATAAAAGGGAAAAAAACTAAACCAATAAAATTGACTATTATTCAAATATTACATAATTCTAACAGTTACTCTTTCCTTTCTTTCTGGTAAATTAATTCATCACTAATTTACTAATATCCGTTTGATTTTGACAGAAGAAAATTCGGTACTTGTACATTATGTTAACCATTGGTGAAATTTTCAGTCAATTACCTACTAATTTACTAATATCCCCTTGAGTGAGTGAGTGAGTGAGTGAGTGATTATGGCGCAAAAACCAGAGATGATTATGACGCGCCAAACAAATATCCCCTTGATTTTGATAGAAAATTTGGTACTTTAACATTATCACGACCTCTGGTGGAAATTCTGGCAACAGTCACCAATCATTACTGTGGAAATCTAAAAGGACACCGTCATCCACAACTGGTAATAAATCATGCTGTTTGGGTGGTCAACAGGAAAACATGCAAAATTTTGTTTGTTGACACAAATTTTTGTTGATTTAAAGTTTGTCTTATCCATGCTTTACAGTGCCTTTGATTTCTCATTTGCTCAATCTTACTTCAAAAAATCCAAAGTTCCTAAAATAAAATATTCCAGTTACTTGATGTTCCTGGTTAGTAGTCAAGTTTTTACAGTAACTAATCTAATAGTTCTATTTAAATGCTATTAATTTAAATATTCTATTTTAACCTCCTGAACTTCAAATTCGTTTCTCCAAAAGAAATTATCTTTGGAAACTTTACTATACTACATAATTACAAATACAGCTATTTGTTAAACAGTTCAATTTGATAACAGTCATCATACAGGAACTTAAATTACTTCAAATTCAAATATAAAAAAATAAAATTATATAAATATTCAGAAAGCTCATATATTGAGTTTATATATAGTTTTATTATAAACATAAACTGATAGAAATAATTTTTAATTTATATTTACTACAAAGTAAGGTAAAATATTTTAAAACTAAACAAACCTGTTGATTCATCAGCGGCTAAGATACCTTTGCCAGGGGCAACAATTGCTTCTGCAATGTTACGCAAGTCAGTTTGCTGTTGCTCAGAGAGATAGCTGAAGTGAGCCATTTTAGATAGCTGTAAGGAAACAATTTAACATAATCCATTAATACACAATTTTTTTCACATATACAAGATAACTAACTGTTATAAAATGACATAAAGGTAAATATATAATAGGCACTTATTCTCTGGCATGCACAGCCAAATGCAAAGAAGCATGGGGTGCTTTAGCACAGCATGTTTAAGAGTGTTCTATACCAAACAAAATCTGTCAAGTGATGATGAAAGCTAATATCTTCATTGGCAGAAAGATATTTATTGCAATCTTTTATATACTAAGGTAATCTGATAAAAGGTTTTTTTAGATTTTAAGAAATATTTTTTTTTTTAACTTTGTATATTCTAATCCAAAATAACTAATGCTATACTGTGTTATGATCATGTTAGATTCAAACAGAAAATTACTCTAACGATGCCTCTTATTAGCAAACATTCACAAAACCCAAGGTTTGTCAGTTATGGAAATGTCTGCTGAAATGGAAAATCTATTAATGCAGGTTTGACAAAGTTACAGATATAGAAAGAGCTTGATAATTATATACAATTAACTTTTCCTAAGGTTTCCATACTAGAATCAAAGATCTTGTACATGACAACAAATAGAAAGATACAATACTTCAAAATATTTAATATATGTAAGAAAAATTAAGGTAAAAATTAATTCAGATTGCATAAAGAACCCTTCACATGAAAAATATGCTGAAGATTTTATATTGTGAGGGGGGATAACCTTCTCAGGAAATTAACAGTGATGCATATTTCATATAAAATTTAAGAACAAAATGCATATTAGATATTTATTGAAAGTATACAGAAACTTTCATGTCCAAAATATTAAAAATGAAATAAGTATATTTCATGATCAAAATAAAATGTTCATAAAAAGTGTCTTTAATTTAATCTAGGAAAATATTTTCATTAGAGAGATACAAAACTGTTAGAAAATAAAATTTCATGATTTAAAAAATTTAGGACTGAAATTTAGAATTTGAAATATGTAGAACTAAAATAATAAGCAAGTTAAAATTACACCATTCTTATTTCTAAATAGCTATAATGTGCTTCCGTGGTGTCAGTTCCTGACAGATCAGGAAACTTGCCAAGGCACGAAGGTCATTTGGGTTATCTGTGTCACTGCATATAACCTTCACTTATTACAATTGTTTTAACATGCAATGACCATTCAATTCAAAGGGAATTAATCCCTTTGAATAAATAAAAAATAATAAATGAAGATACAATTTTTCAGTTTTTACTGTGAATGTATCAGTAATTTAATCTTAACAAATGTATCAAACCTAAATATTTACCCATCTGCTATTAAAATGCATAATTTTGTACTTTATTAAAAAACTCAAAATCAATATCCTTTCTGCAATAAACATATAAGCTTATTTTACAAATTTACACATTTCAAATTACAAAATTTAACTGCAACATCAAAAGCACAAAGATAACGATATCACTTTTACAAATACAGATAATACAAAGCATTTCTAAATTTTACTGCAAACATAATTAAAAGTTATTGAATATATCGTGAAAATTATTTATAAGATAAAGACCCTTCAATTTATTCTGAAAGTACTTATTCAATTCTTCAATTTATTCTAATTTTTAAAAATGTGTTCATGAATTAACCAGTTAGTTCACATTTACCACACCTTACAAAAATTTTGCTATATAAAGTTTCTGCTCATATAATTTTATATATTAAAATTAATTTTCATTATTACTGACACCATAATCAGTGCCAAATAATCATCTGATGAATGTGATCACACTAAGTGCCCGAATCTGATAACTGGCGAAATACACAGGGCAGCAAAAAAGCCAGTGCCCACTTGATTCAAACATACCTCACATGTTAACTAATGTTTATAGTGTCAGAATTTATATTATTCAAAATAGTTGTTATACACAATCGGAAAAATACCTATTAAAATCATAAAAATTACAAACTTGTGCAATATGCAAAAATAAGTTTTAGGGCATAAAAAGTGAATGTTAATTTTTTATTAATTGTACCATTATTCACATCCTTCACAAAATACACATACTTTGAAATTTTTAAGTTTTAAAATTATTCGAAACTGATATGTTAAGTAATATTAGAATTCAGCTGCCTCAAATTTCTAACGACTGAAATGAATCTCATGTCTTGAAATTCAAAGCAGTTTAGCCCTGCAGATTTCTTTGCTTCTGATGAAGAAAGACCTGTACCAGTTTGCCCTCAAAATCAACTGAGTTCTTAACTATATCTTCACCCAACATAAGCTTTTTATGCTTTGCTAATTTTAAGTACTTCAGTATCTGAAATCCACTACTGCAAAAAATAACCAAATTACCTATATACATAGAAGTTAAATTTAACTATATAAAAGGAGTACACAAAAATTTTGAGGGATATGGAAAAACATCTTATAAATTTCATCCAATAATGAAGCATTTCATGGAAATGGGTATCTTCTCACTAAAATAAGTAAATAGGAAAAAATACTCTTAAACTTTTAATGCAGCCAACACTTTCTTTTCTCTTTCTATTAACAACTGCTTATGATATTATCTAAAATGTTTCTCATTAAATTTCAATTCCGGTATCTCGTTAAGCACAGGCAAATCATTTTAAACGAGACTTTCAATATGCATAAGACAGACCAGTTACTTGCAAATATAATCTAAAAGAGCTGGATCTAATTTATCAAAAGCACAATCCAAGTCTTGATTAAATTTAACCTATATGATTTACGAAATGAAAAAGACCGTTCGAATCAGCTTAACGAATTTTCACTTCTCCTTGGATTTCAAAAGCGTATGTGATGCAATAACCAGTCAAGATTTTAACACAGTTGAGCCCAGATGGGCACGTTTCTGACATCACGTCATTCTCGTGACTAAAATCCGAAAATACCGTTAATTTTGCTAGAAACCGAATTTCAAAATCATTGCAAAAAGTCTCGTACAATTTTCTCACAATACACGAAATGCATACTTTAAATCTGGAATTATTTTAACTATGATCTAAATAGACAATCGTCGTAAAACATACAGAAATTAAATGTCTGCATCCTTAAATGAAACCGAATATTCAATATAATTACTATAAATACTGAAAATAGCTTTAATCAGCTTAATTTCATAACATTACAAATCAAGATCTCAATAAAATCTAAAGGCAAAACCCGCAATTCGAATAAAAATCTACCTGTTATTCGGAAGTAAATATAAACGAACTGCAGCTGCGGAAACCACCAACAACAGGACGACTGAAGGTGACCTTCCCGGGCATTTAAACCGCATTGACAAGGCGACGTCATATGAGCTAGATTTTCATTGGTTAGCTATTAAGAAGGCTGTTGCTAAATTGCTTAAAGAAACGAAATAAATGAAAAAAAGGAAGAAGATCCGGAAATGTTTTCTAAAAACTACCTGCTAATCAATGCGTTTCTAACCAGCAATTTTATAATTGCTCACTAGTCTCTGTTCACGATTTATAAAAACTACTTACTTATAAACAGTATTATACTTACGCTAGGTTGAACAGAAGTGAATTTAATTAACTAAGTTGAGGTTGAAATGAATTAATAACTTGTTAGTTAAGAAGAAATAATAGCTTGAATTTAATTAATTGAATTTAATGGTTGAATTTAATTAATGATCTGGATAACATGACATAAGTCAGCAGATTCGTTCTAGAATACCTCTTCGCACAGGATGAGTGCTTTTTTCAAAGAGAATAGCGCACAGACTCAATGCTGTCACAGGCAATATTCAGAGTTTAAATTGCGCCGGAGCCCACCGGAGTTCGGCTCGGGTACTTTTAAAATTTTTAAGATAAATTACAATTCTAGCCGGAGCGCACCGGAGCCCTAAATAAGATGAGCTCCGGTACTTCTTTTTATAAAACTGAACCACAATTTCTAGGGGAAAAATTTAGAATTCCTAACGTTTTAGTTTAACAATAAGCAGACCTTGCAATACTCTATTTCACTAGAAATACGAACTCGTGAGAACATGAAACATTCAGGTAAAGTCCCCTCACTCACATGCGGAAACCTTTCCCTTTAAGAAGGGCAATAAATTTGGGGGAGTTTGTTTAGGAACGCGTAAATTTCTCGCCATGCCATCGTATCTAGTGTATTGTTGTCAATGGTTACAGTTAGTTATCCTGCCTGGAAGGAAAATTTGTGTTCTTAAGTGTGCGTTAAGTGACCGCGAGCACAATAAAAGTGAAATAATGAGATAAACTGCTCAAGCACGTCCTATACGTAGTCTTCCCAGAGTATTCACTAATGTAACCAAATACGGGGGCGAAAAGTGTGACCAGCAACTTTACATTGCTCCTTAGGGGTCAGATTCAGGACTCATTTTACCCCTGACACACATCCGTTGAATGGCTATAATTATATCAGCAGAGAGCTGTGGTCAAAGAAAACGTTCTCTCTCACCAAGATTCCCCTCATTTTTTGTTTCCATCCGCTCATACCTCCACGCCCTCATTCTGTTTCGCCCTGTTTACAGGGCGAAACAGAATGAGAATTATCTGAATTTTCATCAGAACAGAATTATCTGAATTTTCATCAGCTATACTTTAAGTGTATTTAATTTTTGTGATGATAAAAGAACTTTTCCTCCCTACGATCAGAGCTTAAACTGGGCCGGAGCTCACCGGATCCCGGCTCCGGTGCTTCTTAGTTTTTGTCATAAATCAAAATTCTAGCCGGAGCGCACCATAGCCCTAAATAAGAAGGCTGCGGCACTTTTTTTATGTAATTGAATAACAATTTCAGTAGAAATTTTATCTCGAAAATTTTATTTTTAGCAATAAAATTATATTAAAAATCGCTTATTAAATTTTAATTTATCTATTTACATTTAATTTAATTTTAATTATTTAATTATTCCAGTAAATAGTAATTAATTAATTATTGAATAATTTTCGATTAAATTATATTTAATTAATTACGTATAATTATTGATTAAATAACAATTAATAAACATTAATTAAATAGCTATTAATTAATTTATAATAAATGACTATTTAAGTTTTAAAATTATTAATGAGTTTAATAGTCATTTTATTTATTTATTTACTCTTATTCGTCTTTGCTGACGGTCTTCCATAGGACTCCGGCATTCTAGTTTTAGAAGTTTAGCTCTGGCAACATTTCAAACTTCTCATTATATTTATATACTTTATGTCAGCTCTTAACTTTTTCTTTGCAAGAAATATTATTTTGCTAATATCATACTGCAGGGAGAAATATTAAATAACCTACCTTTGAACAAATTAGAAGGAATTAGAACCAAACGGAAGTATCGAACATACTGAAGAAAAAAAATACATAAAAACATAGATAAAAAAAGTCATTGCAAATATTCGAAATGTACACTATTACATAGTTGTGAATCGAAGAAAAAGATATACATTAGCTTCAAAAACTCTCTCACTTTAAAAATTGTAACTGAGTGCTTAACAAAAAACTTGAAATCATGTGTTTAATTCTTTATTAAATATTTTTCCCTTCGAAAAAATCTTACCTGCTTTTAAAATACAAAGCTGAGGAACTAAAAAAAGAATAAATGAAAAATATGGGAGAAATAGTTCAGTGGTCTTTTACGAGGTAGATGTAGGTGAAAGAACCATTTAGTTTATATATCATAATTTGATATTAGAGACCAAAATTATTTTTAAGATCTGTAAGCAAAAATCCAAAAATTACGCAGGTTAATATGTTGTAGGAAACATTTTATTTACTTTTTAACTTTATTTATATTTTTAATATTTGTTTATTTATTTATTATCTCCCTCCACGAATTATTTTAATTTCCAACATAAATTACATCATTGATCATTTTTATGTTTACATTATACAAGGTTGACTGAAAAATTTTGAGTCCACCTGTATTTTGTGTTCCCAATAGTAGACGTGACAATTTTCTATTGGGTTTTGTGAAGTTTATAAATCCAAAATTTTGAACTTATAGTTGGAATACCAACTAATGTAACCAAATACGGGGAACTTATCTTTTATCATAACGAACAGAAACACGCTGTACATTTTCTCATGGGGCTGAAGTAGACGTCTCTGTTATGATATAATAGATGTGAGATTAAATTAGTAATATGTAAAATAGGCACAAGACGTAATGAAACACTCGAAATATGACAATATGCATATGATGATGAAACATTTAGCCACCCTAATAGAAACACTTCATGATAGTTCTAGCAGGTTAAATTCCTGCGGTTACAAATGTCAACATAATGCGCTCATGAACAGACAATGAATTGTGATTACTATACAAATGTGTTGAAAACCATTTGCGTGGAGCCATAGGATGGACACTGAATTTTCTCATTTAATAATGGTTAGAATAATGCCCGGTTACGTGCTGCTGTGCTAGAGGCAGATCTGCCTGAAATCTATTTTTGATTAACAGAACGCCTGCAGATGGCCTAGACTTAATGACATGTTCTTTCTGGACGTTCTGAGCATTGAAGAAGCAATTACACTGGAAGAGATTTTCTTGAAATGCATTAAGGGAAAAAGCGACGTAATTGTGAGCAGTATTATATTTAATAATTTGTTTTCTGTTTTTTGAATCATTTATATAATAAATGTTGGATTATTTCGTGGAAATTATAATCTAACGCGAAGTATTCTAATTCGAGGGAGAAGAATAGAAAAAGGGAAAATATTGAGTCCGTACAGTCATCTGATTCTGAATATAGAATTCAATCTCAAAACATTTCTTTTATTGTATGCCGATTCAATAGCGATTTTATTGAGGCAGAGTCATGTAAAATAAGAATTGACTCATTAGAGAGAGATTTTAATCCTAAATTTCTTTAGTATAAATCAACTATGATGCTGTGAAAGTACATCAATAATTCTATCTTCTGATGGAAATGCTTAGTTTGTATGGAAATGCTACACGCATTTATCAAAAGTTAGGTAACCTCAAAATAGTTATAAAAATTGTAATGATGTGTCTGGGAACAGATCTTAAATTACGTCGGAGCCCGGCTCCAGTGCTTCTCAAGCTCGAAGGTAAACCGTAGTTCACCGGATCACACCAGAGGCCTAAATAAAAGGGCATTTTTTATGTAAATCAAAGACAGTTTCAGCGAACAAATTTTATTTGAAAAACAAATATGCTTCAAAAATCAATTATAACTTTCGAATGCATGCCTAACTTTCATGACTGCATGCCTGAGATTCAGGATTCATAACCAGTGATTGTCAGGATATTTCTTGGGCTTCCGAACTGTATGGCGGTTAGCGAAGGCCGGTGGATTATCTTATCATTGGGTCTCAATTCAAATCTTGGGCAAGTCACAGACGTTTGAAATTCTCTGTGTGTATCATTGCAGCATAGAGGCAGTTCAAATATGTACAACAAAACAGCAAACAGCTCCGAGAGGTCGGAGGTAACATCCTCATATTTCTTTCCCCTGAGCTCATCGGTTAAACCTAGAAAGCAACTTAGGTAAATAATAAATGAGCTTTGCCTGAATCAAATAATCCAACTTAACGTAATTCGCGGACAGATTCTGCAATAATAATAGTTTAGTAGCCTACCATACTGACATTTTGAGAACAATTGTAACTTAAAATACTATAGTGGAAAGGCATTAGGACTTTCCCTTGTCATGATATTCAAGATATTATTACTACAGTCAAAAGTCTTTAATCCGGACTCGTCGGGACTTCGGCGATTCCGGATTATCGATTTTTCCGGATTATAGATCATCAGTTTAAATCTGGTAAGATGGCATGCAGAAATTATAAAATTCAAAATATGAAACCGTAATTTATGAAATAAAAAACAATTATGATCTATCAAAATTTACAAAAAAAAAAGCTTTATATTTGTTTACTTTATTAAACATTCCTTTCAACGCGCGCATGCGTAAAGCATACATTACGCATAGTCGAAATTAGAAAATTGCAACCAGAGAACTATCTGATGTGTATCCGTGATATTTATAATGACGATGAATTTGATTTAAATCATATCAAAGACGGAGTACATTGAGATGAAATACTACATTTAGTAAGGAATTATAAGCTGAATAAAATAAAAACATCTGTCCTGAAGATAAGGATATAGTGCTGACAGATCAACTTCCAATTCATAGCGCGCCGCGTTGTTTCCCTCCCCCCGCAGAGCAGCATGAAATTGATAAACATATTTCGGAATGATTACATAATCAAAGGATATACCTTTATCCATTTTTTGCAGCAATTCGACTTTCTGTTTAATGGACTTCGAAACATACTTTCGCGTTGTAGATCCTTTACATATTAGCAAATATATATCGGAAATTCTATTTGACATAATC